GCTCTTATTTTTATTATTTCTCTCTTTCTATTTGTTTTGGGATTTGCTTGTTCTTGTTTTTCTAGGAGTTTGAGATGTATCATTAGGTCATTGATTTGGATCTTTCAGTCTTTTTAATATATGCACTCATGGCTATAAACTTTCCTCTCAGGACTGCCTTTGCTGTGTTCCATAGGTTTCAGTAGGTTTTGTTTTCATTTTCATTGACTTCCAGGAACTTTTTAATTTCCTCTTTTATTTCATCAATGACCCATTGTTCATTAAGCAATGAGTTATTCAGTTTCCAGCTGTTTGCATGTTTTTTGTCTTTATTTTTGTTGTTGAGTTCTAGTTTTATTGCATTGTGATCAGATAGAATGCATGGTATAATTTCTATTTTCTTATATTTGCTGAGGCTTGCTTTGTGCCCTAGGATATGATCTATTTTGGAGAAGGTTCCGTGGGCTGCTGAGAAGAATGTATATTGTGTAGAAGTTGGATGAAATGTTCTGTAGACATCAAGTAGGTCCATTTGATCTATGGTATATTTTAGATCTAGGTTTTCTTTATTGATTTTTTGTTTGGATGACCTATCTATTGATGATAATGGGTTGTTAAAGTCTCCCACAACCACTGTGTTGGAATTAATATATGCTTTTAGGTCATTCAGGGTATATTTGATGAAATTGGATGCATTGACATTGGTGCATATAGGTTGATAATTGTTATTTCCTTTTGGTCTGTTTCCCCTTTTATTGGTGTGGAATGTCCTTCTTTATCTTGTTTGATCAATGTAGTTTTGAAGTCTATTTTGTCAGAGATAAGTATTGCTACTCCTGACTGTTTTTGGGAGCCATTGGCTTCGTAAATCTTCTTCCAGCCTTTCATCCTAAGCCTATGCTTATTTCTGTCAGTGAGATGGGTCTCCTGTAAGCAACAAATTGTTGGATCTTCCTTTTTAATCCATTTTGTCAAGCCTTTTGATGGGTGAATCAAGTCCATTAACATTGTTAGTACTGATAGGTATGTGGAATTCCTGTCATTTAGTTGTCTTAGTTGTTTGAAGGTTTGATTGTGTGTACCTAAGTTGAGATTACTCTCTACTTTCTTGCTTTTTCTTTTCCTGTGGTTTGGTGCTGCCTGTCTTTTCATGGTTAAGTTGGGTTTCACTTTCTGTGTGCAGAATCCCTTGAAGAATCTTTGTAGTGGTGGCTTTGTGGTCACATATTGTTTTAGTTTCTGCTTATCATGGAAGACTTTTATTGCTCCATCTATTTTGAATGATAGTTTTGCTGGGTAGAGTATCCTGGGTTGAAGTTATTTTCATTCAGTGCCCGAAGATCTCACCCCAGCTCTTCTTGCTTTTAATGTTTCTGTTGAGAAGTCTGCTGTGATTTTGATGGGTTTACCTTTGTATGTTATTTGTTTTTTCTCTCTTACAGCCTTCAATATTCTTTCCTTAGTTTCTGAACTTGTTGTTTTAATGATGATATGTCGTGAGGTAGTTCTATTTTGATCTGGTCTGTTTGGTGTCCTGGAGGCCTATTGCATCTGTATGGGAATAGATTTCTCTAGATTTGGGAAATTTTCTGTTATTATTTTGTTGAATATATTATGCATTCCCTTTGCTTGCACCTCTTCTCCTTCTTCAATGCCCATGATTCTCAGGTTTGGTCTTTTGATGGAGTCAGTGAGTTCTTGCATTTTCTTTTCACAGGTCTTGAGTTGTTTAACTAATAGTTCTTCACTTTTTCCTTTAATTACCACTTAATCTTCAAGTTCTGAGATTCTGTCTTCTGTTTGTTCTATTCTGCTGGATTGGCCTTCCATTTTGTTTTGCATTTCTGTGTTGTTCTTTTTTTCTGAGGTTTTCCATATCCTGAGTCGTTTCCTCTTTAATGTTGTTTATTTTTGTCCTGAGTTCATTTATCTCTTTATTAATCTTGTTCTTTGTTTCACTTTGGTGTTTATACAGTGCTTCTATGGTTTCTTTTATTTCTTCTTGTGCTTTTTCAAATTCTCTATTTTTGTTGTCTTGGAATTTCTTGAGTGTCTCCTGTACATTTTGGTTGACCATATCCAGTATCATCTCTATAAAATTCTCATTAATTACCTGTAGGATTTCTTCTTTTAAATTATTCTTGTGGACTTCATTGGGTTCTTTGGCATAGTTTATCTTTATTTTGTTGGAGTCTGGATCTGCTTATCTGTTTTCTTCATTTCTCTCTGGTTCCTGTACTAATTTTTTGCTGTGGGGAAACTGGTTTCCCTGTTTTTTCTGTCTTCCCGTCATTGCCCTTGGTCTTGTTATTGTCCTGTACTGTGTGCAATTAAGTATTTTCTAGCTTGTAGTATTAACAATGATGATACTTAGAATGGAAGGGTGAGAGGAGAGGGACAGCAAAGAAGTTAAAGAAAAAGGGAAAAACAAATAAACACGTAAAAAAACCAAAACAAACAAACCAAAAGTTTCAAAGATATAAACAGGGAGAGATAGTGTACTAGTCAACTGTAAGCTAAACAGGCATTAGAGAGACAGAGAGAGGATTGAAAAAAATAATCTCCAAGTTCAAATGCAATAAAGTTTCAGTCTGTAATAATTTTGGTGTTAGTCTCTCGGCCTCCAATCCTGGAGATGGTGTCTCAGAAGTAGCTCTGTCATTGTCTCATCAAAGGGGAAAAAACCCAAAACCCAAACCAAAACAAAACAAAAACACCACAAAATGTCCCAAGTTCAAATGCAATACACTTTCAGTAAGTTTTTTAGCATGCAGGTGTAGTTTGGTTGTTGTCTCATCAAAGGAAGAGAGAAAAAAAGAGTCTGGAGACAGTTCTGTGAATGGCTATCTGAGGCTGTGGCTCACCTGCCTGCTGCTGTCAGCGTGCTGTTGCTGGAGGCTTTATTTATGCAGATCTCAGGAGTGAGCTTAACACTCACCTAGCCCCTCAGGCTTTGTTTAGTTAGAGTTCTCCTGGGCGCTGCCGCCACTGCTACAAGCTTTCCCCTTTCCAAGCACATTGAGGGAGGTGACACTGCACCCGCTTTCTCAGGCCGGCATGTTTATTTACAGTTCACATGGGAAGTGGGTCTTCCCCCCCTCTCCTGTGGAGTTTTTCTCCCACCACCACTTTTGCAAGCTTTCCCGCTCCTGGTTGCTGGGCATGTGCGATGGCTCCTGCCTTCTACAGCTGGCTTGTTTATTTACAGTTCCATGGGGGATTACCCCTCCCTGCCTCTTCGGAGTTCAGGGCGCCCCGCCTTCTTTGCTACGTGTGTTTTTTGTTGTTGTTTATTATTCAGTTTCTCTTTTTTCCCTGGATGGGGGTCGGTCTGTCCAGGGGGCTATGCTGATCTGGCCCAGGATTGTCTGTGGGAGTACCACATGCCGCTTAGCTCACCTTGTGTCTGTGTCTTCCCAAGCAGTCTGGGCACTGGCATCTGGCAGTGCTGGAGCCCTCCTGGTTTCTCCGTTTAACATGAAGTGGGGATGCTATGTGTGGCCTGGAGGTGTGGAGGAGTCAAAGTTTTGCCTCTTCTTGGTGGCTTTTCCTATAAGGTCTATCCTTTATTTCTTACCACATGGGCCTCATCACAGGGTCATACACAACATAGCAGCTGTCTTCCTCAGAGCAACAGAGACTGAAAGAAAGAGTGAGTGAGTAAGACAGAAGTCAGTTATTCTCCAATCTAATCTTGCAGATTTTTGTCATACTCTATGTATAAGAGGTGGATTACTATATCTAGCCCAAACTCAAGGGAACCAATCACATAGAATATGAAGACCAGGAGATGTGGATCCTTAAGGATCATATCAGATGTTGCTTCCCACCCAGTGCAATTAGAAATAAAATCCAAACAGAATTACTTGAAAATCAACTCTGTTAAATTACTCTTCAGAAAAAAGAACATTAACTCTGCCATAATAGAAGTAAGTATTTTTAAGATAATAGCCAAATTTATTGAATCTCAGTAAAGCTCTTCTCAATGACAAATTCATTGAATATTGATTGTTTGCTATGTGCCAGATACTCTGCCAAGTTTTGGCAATTCAAGGAATTAAGGAGATAAAACCATATAATTTTACATTGTAGTGAATGAAATCAAATTCTTGAATAGTGATTATGACATCCTGAGTTCAATTCTGACCATTTTTATGTTAGCTTTACTATTAAGGATTTATTTATTTACTATTTACCTTTTCTATATCTATTTTATGTATCTGAGGCACAGAAAATTTAAGTGATTTTCCCAAAGCTATTAAGTGGCAATGTAGACATTTGAACCAAACCCTGTCTGGCTCCAGATCCTATCCACTAAACACTATCTTATTCTATATAATTGGGAGAAGAGAGAAATAAATTTGAGACCTGCTTCTTGATCATATGAAGTAGATAAATCTCTGGAAAGTTCTTCCCTGATGATTCTAGCTAAAGTAGTGCTTCACAGAGTGATTCACTAATCACTCTGCTCTGTTTTGTTTTCTTTAGAGCATTTGTCACTATTAGAAATATTTTATCTGTATCCTATCTGTGGATTTATTTTATTCATTCATCCATCCATCCATCCATGTTTATTGTCCAGATCTCCCCCAACTAAAATACAAGTTCCCTGAAGGTAGAAAGCATAATAATATGCTTCACAAATATATTTGTGATGCCTAAAGCAGTTCTGGAATGTATTATGTACTTAATAATAAATATGTAATGGCTGAATGAATAAACAATATTTAATATGTACATCCATTTAAAAATATATTTACCTGAACAGAAAAACAACTGGAAATGTTTAATCACCTCTAGGCTAACAGAAGTCCTTCTCTGGTAGGCGAGATTGTAGGTAGCTTAACTTACTTTTTCCTCTTCATTTATTTTTAGACAAAGAGGTAGAGAGAAGGAGATGGGAGCAAGGAGAGCTTCAGGTATCCACAGATCAGATTCTTTCCAAAGTGATTAAGGCTGATACTTTGAAATAGCACACAAAAAGGAAAGTACAAATGTGACTGCACTGTCTTTACTTTCAGATGCTCTGAATTTGAGTCGAAACTTGAAGGCTATGGCAAGGAACTGGAAGGCTTCAGAAAGCGTGAAGTGATGACTACAGAAGAAATGAAGAACAATGTTGAAAAGCTTAATGAACTTTCCAAGAACCTAGATCTGGCACTGGTGGAATTTGAGGTTTGGGATCTTACATGGGGGCTTATGATTCTACTAGTCTGGTGATTCTGATTCTTGATTTTGTATTTTCTCAATGACACCTGTCAGGTGGATAGTACTGATTAGTTGGTTGATTGATCACATCTTTTAGCTACCTTTTTTCCATACCCCTGCATTACAACAGAGTTTTTGTAAATCACTGGGTACACAAAGAGGAAATTAGGGTAACTGCTTACATGTATTGAACACTTACGTGCTTAGTGTTGTGCAAAGGGCTTCATATATAATAGCTCACTTGATACCTGCAATAAACCTTTGGAGTTTGTTATCCTATTTAAAGTTGAAGCTGGGTGCTGGTGGCTTACATCTGTAATCCTAGTTACTCAGGAGGCAGAGATCAGGAGGATCATGGTTCAAAACCAACCCCAGGCAAATAGTGCGACCCTATCTCAAAAAACCACAGATTACAGAAGTGCAGTTTGTTTTATGGACCTCAGGCTGCTCAAATGGATCACATCCGCCTGAATTTATCAGCTTAAAATGCATTCCATAGCTTGCTGTGCTGACATGAATATGATAAGACAAAAGAACAGAAGCACCACTTTGAAGTAACCTAGCTGAACTGCACATGTTCTGTTCTGACCCTTTTTGTCCTCCCTGGAGCTTTTGCTATCTGGCAAATGCAACTCTAAAACTGTACTTGTATCTCTAGATCTTTGCAGCCAGAGAGGTGTTCTCTGAAGACTTCTAAACAAGTGTGTGAGCTGAACTCTTACTGAACTGAATTAATTATTAATGATGCAGATGGAGCCATCCAAATGATAAGAACAGCTCCTGATGTGTCATGATCCAAGCTTTCATTAAAACATTTCAGGCATTAAAAAAAAAACAAGAAAGAAAAACCAAAAAAACGCCCATTACAAAAAAGGGTTGGTGGAGTGGCTCAAGTGGTAAGAGCACCTGCCTAGCAAGCATGAGGCCCTGAGTTCAAACCCCAGTGCTGAGAAAAATAAACAAACAAATAAATAAATAAATGAAGTTGAAATACTAAGACTTGGAGATACTAACAACTTTCCCTAAAGGTCAGCTGGTAAGTTTTTTAAACTAATAAAATTCTTACCTTTGAGCCAAGTTCATGTAATAAGACTGGTAAATAGTCATATGAATAACTAAAAAGTATATATGGAAATTGTGAAAATGGCGACATTGGGAACAAAGATAATGGAGCAAGTAGCAAACTATCCTACAGTTTCCACTCAGAGGTAGCAGAAGGGCCTTCTTGTCATCTCTTACTCTCCAAATGAATGAGCATCTTCCTCCACTTGGTTTTAGAAGCACTGAGGAATTTGCTATGGGGGTTTCTTGGATTCAGGAGAACCACCTGCCCAACTGACAGCATCCCTTTTTTCCCAGCAGCAGATCAATAAAGAGGAAGAGCTGCTGGAAAAGGAAAAGAGTACCTTTCCTATTTTGCAAACTTTGATGACCAATAAAGTGCCATATGAGCAGCTGTGGACAACAGCCTACGAGTTCAGCACCAAGTCTGAGGAGTGGATGAACGGTACATGGCATTCTCACTCTGCTGGGACAGAATGGGCATGGGTGGGAGGGATTCACCCAGCCGGCTCTGAAATAAAGTTTGCTCCTCAGATTCTGACTGGACTCTTCATCAGATTCTGACAGTCAGGATTAAGACAGCCACATTCAGTATTTTCTGATGTGGTAACAAAGGGAGGTAGAGATCAAGAGCAAGTCAGTAGCACCCAGACCCATGGACAGCAATGACTCCGAGAGGCAGATGGTGGGAGGATAAGAGCACAGTTCCTCTCTGGTGCTTCTTCAATAAGAGCAAGGCCAAAGTGCCATGGGCATCTGTAAACCATATTTACTGTGGGATCTGGAGTCCAGGGAAGCATTGCAGAGGTGGGATCAGCAGGACATAGTGATTGATCCAATATGGTGTAAGGGGCAGGGAGAAAGAGGGAAGAACCAACAGTGACTTCCGTATTAATTGGCTCAGGCTATTTGGTGTAGGACTTGCTTTCACTGAACAGAGAAATGACAGATTTTTTGGGTGGGGAACCCATCAACTTGTATACTTAATTTGAAGTGTCTGCAAACATCCAAATGAGAATATTAATTAGTAATTGAGTGTATCAGTGTGGATTTTAGGAGATGGGTTAGGAGAGGGTAATTTATATTGGAGGGTAATTGATGTGTATATTATAATTAAAATCATGAATGGATCCTCAAGGGAGAATGCTTAACAGCAGAGGATAAAATAGGAGACCCTTAAGCTTATTTCTAGTACTTGAGTATTATAAACAACTGTGACAATATCTTTACTACTGATTTTCTGGATACAACTATGATTGTGTTTTTTGTTGTTGTTTGTTTGCTTGCTTTGTAGCACTGGGGATTGAACCAGAGGATTTTGAGCTTAGTTGGCAAGTGCTCTACCCCTTGAGCCATATACTTGCAGTCCTTTCATTTTTATTGTTGTTTTGAGATAGGATCTTGCTGGGCTGTCCTAAAACTGCAATCCCCTTGCCTCCATCTCAAAGTAGCTTGGATTATAGATGTGCACCACCACACCTGGCTGATGTGCAAGGCTCTGGGTTCAATTCCCAGTACTGCAAAAAAAATTCCTAAAAGTGAAATGACTAGATCAAGAGATATATTGTGAAAATTACTTTAAAAATACTTTTATTATCATCTTCTAGAAAAGTTACATTTTTTTTTACTCTCTTAGCAATTTTAAAAAGTGCCCATTTCTCAGACTCTGTTTTTGCCAATTTGATCTTTAAAATGGTATTGTCTTTTCATTTTTAAAGAGTATTGTTTCCCTTAACTACTAATGAAGTTGAATGTTTATTAAGATATTGCAGTTCTTTCTTTACAAACCTAGGAAAAGTGCTTCAGACAGAAATGCTATGTCTCCTTTTAGCCTGATTAATTGCATGTAACCCAGGGAGTCACTTCCTCTGTTGGTATCTCATCTCACAGATCTTGAGTGGTGTTTACCCAATGCTTTTATCTACTAGTAAAATCACTGATAATTCAGCCAAACCCTCCCAGGCAGAAGCTACTCCTTGTCATGTCAGTGCATCATTATTCCAAGCCTGTACCTACAATAATTGTTATGTATAGATGGTACACATATTTCTTTCATATTTCAAAGTTTTAATTTTTGATTATTAAACAAAAAATGTTGAGCTGATAAAACATGTTAAATGAATGAAGCTACAGTTAGTTTAGGCAGCCCTGAAAGAATCGTGCTTTGAGTAAAATAGCAAGAGCATGCTGGAAGAGTCAATGCTAATTTGAAATATCCATGGGAAAGATTTGGGCAGATTTGAAACCCAAATGCTAAAGATTTCCTATGAAAGAAAAGAGGGGAAAGGAAATTAATGTCTTAGAGCACTTAAAAAAAATTAGAGCACTTTTTAAAAAAGAGGTTTCATTATTTGTTTTTTAAACAATTTCAAACTTATATAAAAGTTGCCAGAACTATACAGAGGGTTCTCATACCCCATTCACCTTCATTCCCCAGTTGTTACTTCACAGCATCTGTGGAGCTTCTTTCATACCGTTAAGACAGCACTTAAAACCAATCAGAACAATTGCTACCCTACTGTACATCCATTGTATGACAGGCCACTTTATTTGTGCTATCTCACTTCATTTCCACAGTCACCCTTCAAGGTATCTATTATCCCCCTGCATTCACAGGTGATAATGTTGAGGCTAAGTGGAGGTTTCAAATCCAGACCCACCTCCAGAACCTGTATTAATTACAATATCCTCATAAGTGTCACAGTTCTCGATCCAGGGAATTAAAGATACACATGACAAACATGTACGTCATGGTCTGATTAACCCTTCTTTTGTCATCCCATCTTTTCTATTTCAGGGCCCCTGTTTTTGCTAAATGCTGAGGAAATTGCGGAAGAGATAGGAAATATGTGGAGGACAACATATAAGTTGACCAAGACCTTGGCTGAAGTGCCTGCACCCAGGCGCTTAGCAGAGAATGTCAAGTTGAAGATTGATAAGTTTAAGCAGAACCTTCCTCTCCTCAGCATTTCCTGCAACCCAGGAATGAAAGAACGGCACTGGCAACAGGTTATTATCACTGCCCATGCCAGGTGGCCCAACCCATGGGATAATGGGAGCCCATGGGGAGGCAGGAGACATTACTGAGTCAAGCTTCTCCTTAGGCCCAAGGGGCCAATAAAAACATGATAGTCTTCTGAAGGATGGGCATGGTGGGCTATAGAATGAACTTCCTACCATGTAAACAGGTTGACCCTTTGGACCCCCATTGCTGATGTTTGAATATTGTTCCAGCCAGTGACCACTTTGCTTTCCTAAGAAAATGGCCGCTGGAGATCCTAACTGCTGATAAAAGTATTGAATCACAGTGAAAGGCCTTGATTTTTTCCTTAACCTAGGATGTGCAAAAAAGAATGTCACATCTTTCTCCAGGGGTCTGCTAATAAATCTAGATGGCTCCTACTCAGGCTGCCTTTGGTGTGGAGTTTCATGGTCAAACAGGCTAGGTTTAGAAGTAATTTTGCACTCCTCTTTCAGCCCTCGGAGCCTATAAATGGGAATAATATTCTCCCTAAAAATAGTTGGGATTTTTATAAGCAGTGAAGTGTGAGGATGATAAGTGTGGTGTGAACGCTAAAGAGAAAAAAGAAAACTCACTGTTTCTAAAATATTTGACACATTCAAAGGCTAGCAATGGCCTTGAAATGTTCTCTACCTGGGAGTTGCTCTTTGTGGAGTAGGATGTGACTGACTTTCCAGAGGCAGACTCCTCTCAGAATCATGTCTCTGGAAGGACCCAATCTGACCACCTGCAACACATTCTAGAGAGTGGACACTTGAGCCCTATTTCTAGGAGCATATTGATCTCTCCAGAAAAATAGAGGTCTTGATACATGAAAGGGGGAATTTCAATTTCCCAGAAATCCTGGAGAACGAAGAGCTAAGCAAAGGGCAATGTGCTATACAGAAAGAAATCAGAGAGAGGTCATCTTAGTGGACCTCTGGTCTTGAAATGTCTTGACAGAAGGTCTGCAAAGGGAAACTGGTCTCCTTTGGTGCTCATAGGGTTCCTCTCTATGAATGTGGCCAAACTAGACTTTCGATTTGCTTGGAGTGTTTGGAAGGTTCGGTGGACCGATGGCCTCTGGTAGTGCAGGTTTCTCTGTGAGATGGCACCGTGGAAAGTGCTCTTATCAATACTGTTTACAGAACAGGCCAAGGGTCTCCATTTTCCCTGCCTGGTACTTCCTCTGTGATGATGCTGTTTTCACACATGGGCACTTTAAAAATCCCAGCCATTCTTCTTAAACATTCATGATTCTCATTTACAGACAACTTAGATTGGAAAAATATTCTTTAGGATTATAATCAAATAATAATAGCTAAAATGTATTGAATACCAGCTATGCAGTAGACACTGTATTTTATCCTTTATTTGGATTTTTTTCAACAACCCTATTCTCATTTCATAAGTAGGAAAACTGAGACTTAGATTAAGTAAATTGTCACATGGATAGTTATGGATGAGGAGGGAGCTAGAATCCAGGTTTGTTTGGCTTAACTAGAAAGATGAAAACAGGGCCAGAAAAATCAGGAAGAGGAAGGGAGCAGGCAGCAAGGGCCTTGAATCTCAGGGAAGAATGGAGCATAGCCCCAGAAAGGTGGCTCTGGAAAAGTAGAAGCTGAGTGGGCTGAGGAGATGAAAGGTGGCTCAGAAAAGACAAGTGTCACCAGATGCACTGAAGGCTGTCCCCACTCAGGGCTCATTTTTGCTTAAAGCCACCCCAAACAGCCCCAGGGAAGTGTTTGCCTATACTGATATCACACTCAGGAGATCCATTCACACAGAGTCTGGCTCAGGCAGAGGGCTAAGCCACCTGTAGCTCTCAAAGTTAGAAGACAGCCTTTTCAGGGTCATAGGGCTAGCGTTGCTGGTTGTGTTTTCTAGTCATTGCAGAGTTGTTTTCTTTTTTTACTCTGTTTTAAAGCAAGATGGAACAAGATTTCACTTGACTTTAAGGAAAAACCATACAGTTAAGTACCAAAGCTGTCCTAAGACTTAGATCATAAGAAATGTAACACAAACTGTACATAAATTTGAGAGTTCCTAGTTGGGACTCTTTAAGTAAATGGAAACAGGTGGAATAAATTTTATGAATTAAATTTTTTAACTAAGCATACTCAAAGTGTGATCATTTATGTATTAGATCAGTATTAAAGATGTTAATGGGAAATATTTGGAATATAATGTGTTTTTACACTTAGAGCACATCTTAGTTTAGACCAGACACATTTCAAATGCTCAGGAGTCACAAGGGTGTCATGGCTACTCCCCAGATAGCATAGCTCCCAGCTCTTGGAACTAGAGAACCAGGTGCCTTGTCAATCTGTATAATTAACAAAAGTATTTTGAAAAATGAAACAACCAATCTTGGAGTCCTTTCTGTGGGTCAAGTACTGTACTAAGTGCATTTCATAGCTGTGTCATTTAGTCCCACAGAGAGTCAATGTGTTTCTCTGGGCTGTATCTTCTCTTATTAAGAGAATTAATGAGCTGCTAGGCTCACCAGGAACAGTTGTGCAGATTATGCATTGTACAACTTTAGGAAATGCTGTATTTGTACACTACATTGTGAATTGTACTTTCTAGAATTATGCAGTATATAAATTGCACAACTGTACTTAGAAGACCTGTGACAGTCACTAGAGTTTAATGTATAAGAGCTTTGGAGTCAGGATTGGATCCAGAATTCAATGCCATTTATAGCTGGATGATTTGGGACAAGTTAATTTCTTTGTCTCAAATTCCTTATATGTAAAGTGGGAATTATAATACATTAGTATCTTCCTCATTGTGTGTGAGATTGAAATAAGTGCATAAAGCACTTGAAATAGTACCACTACATAGTAAAACTCTCAATAGATGTTCATTATTTTTATTATTTCCATTACCTCACTGATCCTCCAGGTGTCCCCAGAACCCAAATTGGAAACCATTTGAGTTAGCGGATTAATTCATGCTGTCACTTCATAAATACTTATTGGTGCCTAATAAATGCCAGGCACTAGAGACACAGTACTAAATAAGACAGAACATGACATGGCTGCCATGCTCCTTCCTGCTATGGCATTCTTTAATACTGCAGAGGCTAGACAGAGACAAAATTGAGCAGTAGATGAGGTTTTGCTTAGAGCCTCATTCTCCTTCAGTGCTCTTTAGCACATGGGACCCTCATACTCCCCAAATCTTTCAGTCCCTGAGAAGTGTTCAAAAGCTATCAGTGTCTTCACTTAGGACCTTTTCAGGGGTATTTGAATTTAAGAAGTAAGTCTGGGGAAGTATTTGCACCAGGGGATTGGGTGATTTCCAACAAATAACCCACTGAGGTGAAAAGGGAGGTGTTTTTTTTTTTTCCTTCCTTTCTAATCTGTATGTCTTTATTTATTTACCATACTACAGAGACTGGAACTTCCAACAGATTGTTAAGCAAAAGTGGTAAAGCAGACAGCTGAAAGGGACATATTTGGAAGGGGAACCCTTCCTCCTTCCCAGCATCTTCAGATCACAGCATTTAGGAGTCTGCCTGTCCCATGGACTCATGACCTCCTCCTCCCTTTATTCAGCAAATGCTCACTGCAGCTTTGATCACAGATCAGACTTCACACAAGGCCCCTGGAGCCCAGAAACAAAGCAGACCCTGTCCTAACCTTCAAAAGTGTTCACAAATTGATGGGGAGACAAACCCCAGAAAACCAGATACAGTGTGGCTTTAGGCTGCCTCCTGAATCCTCAGTTCTGCAGTGTCCAATTCTGTATTCACTAGCTACACGAGTCTATTTAATTAAATTTGAGCTAATTAAAATTAAATAAAAATGAAAAATCAGTTTGTTAGTAACACTAGCCACATTTTCATTGCTCAACAGCCTCCTGGGTCTAGTGGCTACAGAAGCACAGATGAGGAACATCCCCAGTGTCACAGGACGTTCTGTTGGACAGCACTACCTTGGACAGTAAACACTTGTCTTCCTCTTTCCTTGTAGATCAGTGATATTGTTGGCTATGAAATAAAGCCCACGGAAACGACTTGCCTCTTAAATATGCTGGAATTCGGACTTAGCAAATACCTTGAAAAGTAAGGCTCCTTCTTCCTTTCTGAAAGATTTTTGGTCCAACTATCTGTAAGTTCCCACAGTGGTATGATTAGTCTTGTATCAGTTTATTTTCTCCTTCAGGGTGACTTAAAACTATTCAGAAACTCCCACTTTGCATTTTTGATTATAGAGCTGGTGATGGTTTAGGACTAGAAAATTGTCAAGGATTTTATTTAAAGGGGAAAATTCTTTTAAAACTTTTTTTAAACCTGACGTTTAAAAATTAGAAATACGGGCAAAATAGTTTCTGCTGGGTATTGAGGGGAGGGAGAGGGAGGGGGCGGAGTGGGTGGTAAGGGAGGGGGTGGGGGCGGGGGGAGAAATGAACCAAGCCTTGTATGCACATATGAATAATAAAAGAAAAATGGAAAAAAAAAAAGTAAAAAAAAAATAAACCTGACGTTTAAGCCTAGCTCTCAGTCACTTGGAGCAAAATCATTCAGCCTTCCTGGGCCTCAGTTTCCTCTTCTTTAAACAAACAACAATGAATTAGGAGTGGCCCTCCAAGCTCTAAAATCCTATGAAATATGGTCCAATAAAAGGTGTCTTCATTTGTTTTCTTCCCTTCCTCAAATGCTTTTGGAGTTTTTGTGTGAGAATTTGTACTATTTGGATTGTTATTTTTAGAACCTAAGATGCTCAGACTGTGTTTGCGTTTCCACACTTCCTTCAAGGTGACGGGTGGGGAGACTTTGTGTTGATGAGATTAGTTAGAGACCCTATTAGACAACTGGGTTCAGATATAACAACAACCATGATTCTCAGAATGTGGTACCCACATTCTGGTAGGTCCTACCTACCCCAACCTGATGAGTCAAATTCTGGAAAGTGGGCAGTGCCATCTTTGTTTTAACAAGTCCTCCAAGTTAGCACTGTCCAAGGCAAGAGTCACTAGCCATGTGTAACTGCTGAGCCCTTGAAGAGTAGCCAGCCTGAGTCTAATGGATTGGAAGGTGAAAGTGCAGGCTGGATTTCAAAGACTTACTAAGAAAAAAATACAAAATGGCAAATAATTTTAATGTTGATTAATATAATTAATGTTGATTATATATTTTGGATAGAGTAAGTTAAATAAAATATTGAAATTTCACATTTCCTTTTACTTTTTTAAAAATGTAGCTACTGAATATGGTTGATGTACTTTCTATACAAGAATGAATATAGAATTTTTAAATCTATTGAAATCACCATAAGAAGGGGGATACCAAAGTAGAAAGGATAAAAATAGAGGGGATGAACCAATTCAGGTTATAATACATATATACAAGGAAATGTCACAGTGAAACTCCTGTATCACTTATACAAACAAAAATATCTTTTTGCAAAGACAGAGAGCAGGAAGGTAAAACAGGTCCTGTCTAGGAGTTGACACCAGTGTGAGGGGGGAGGATATAAGGAAAGGGTGCAGGAGGTGAATATGGTGGAAATATTATATACTCATGTATGAAAATGGAAAAATGAGACCTGTTGAAACTATTCCAGGAAGGGAGGCTAAAGGAGAATGATGAAAGAGGGTGGATTCAACTATGATATATTGCAAAAACTTTTGTAAATGTCACAGTGCACCTCCAGTACAACAATAATAAACATCAACAGAATAAACATTTGTTAAATAATCAATAAAAAATAAAAATAAAATAAAATATGGCTACTGGAAATGTATGTGGCTTGCATTGCATTTCTAATAAACAATGATGTTCTAGGCAATACTGGTGCTTGCATGAGTCGGAAAACTTGGTACTGTGACAGACCAGGTCTAGTCTAAGGTACTTTTCACTTGAGTGCTCTGATGCCCCAATACCATTTCTGTCCCTCATTGAAAAACAACAGCCCTAGAGACTATATCTATAAGCTTAGGTTACAGTCAGCCCTCAGTACCTGTGGTTCCATATCTGTGGATTGAAGCAACTGTGAGTTGAAAATCTGCTGGAAAAAAATTGCATCTGTACTGAACATACACTTTTTTCCTTGTTATTTCCTAAACAATTTAATAACTATTTTACATAGCATTTGCTTTATATTAGGTATTATAAGTAATCTAGAAGTGGTTTAAGGAATACAGGAGAGTATGTGTAGATTGCATGTTAGTATGTGTAGATTATACTTTTGGTATAGTTTAATAATACAGCTCACAAAAGGCCTTATGAATGACTTAAAATGAAAATGATTGCATAGGAGTAGATTAATCATTTTGGGAAATGATGAAGTATATAGCAAATTGAGCTTTCTCAGATTTTGGTATCCACTGGGGTCCTGGAACCAATTCCCCCCTGATACTGGGGGATAACTATATTTTGTTATAGAGCCTCATCTTCCTCCAGTAAGATGTTTCCAGCAGGCCGGGCAAGGTGGCTCATACTTGTAACCCAGCTAACTAGGAGGCAGAGATCAAGAGAATCATAGTTTGAGCCCAGCCCAGGAAAAATGTTAGAGAGCCCATCTCAACAAATAAGGTAGATATGATGGCATGTTTATAATCCCAGTATAGGTAGGAAGATCATAGTGTGAGGCTGGCCCCAGGCAAAAAACACAGGACTCTACTTGAAAAATAACTAAAGCAAGAAAGTGCTGTGGGTGTGGCTGAAGTGTTAGAGTGCGTGCCTAGCAAGTGTGAAGCCCTCCCTGAGTTCAAACCCCAGTACCACCAAACAAACATACATACAAAACACATTTCTAAGAGATACCAGCTATTGAAGACTTATGCTGCTCCAACTATTTTATATATACTTTGTAAACATTAAAAAGTTTATCTACCACAACGACCTTGTATTCTGGCCAGTATTCTTCTCACTTCACAGATGAGTTAGTAAACTGAGGTTAGAGAGATTGGGACTAGCCATTGGTCACAGCTAGACAGAACCAAGATTTTAACTCAGGCAGGCAGACTCCAAAACCTTAATTGCTTTATTGCCTAAAAATGCAATTGTTTAAGGAGACAGAGACTAAGCAAATAAATACATAGCTACTGTTCCTCTGTCTGTGCTAGTGTGCTCAAGAACAAGGCCAGAAAGAGTGATTGCCAATATCTGTAAAATGGGGAGAAAAATAGTAGCTAGTAGCTAAGTGATTAGGTATTGTGAGAATTATGAGCTCAGGCATTGTTTTTGTAGGGACCTGTTGCTATAACAAAATACCTTTGGTAGTGTAACTTATAAACAATAGAAATTGATTGTTCATAGTCCAGAAGTTGGGAATTCTAAGATCTAAGCACTGGCAGATTCTGTGTTTGCTGCATCCTTACATGGTAAAAGAAGCAAGGGAGCTCTCTTGACTTTCTTTTATAAGGACATAAGCCCACTCATGAGAGTGGAACCATTATAGCCTACCACTTTCCAAAAGGCCTTACTTTTTAAGACCATCACATTGGGTATTAGGTTCCAACATATAATTAGAGGGAAATGACAACATTCAGAACATAACAAACATATAACCTGAGGTGATTTCATGCCCAGGTCCTCAGCCACTATCTATTAGTGAAGTGCAGTCTTCCCTATATCCCACTCACAACTTAGCTAATGAGTTTTATCTCTAGTATGTTTGGGTGAAGTCAACTCTTGATATATCTCATGGATTCCCAAAATGATTAATCTAGCCTCTGTGCAATCACTTGCATTGTAAGTCATACTCTAGGGTTGTTCTTATAAGACACATTACAAGCAGTTTCTCTTATTTAATTATGTCAGCAACTCTATGATCTGGGCAGATGGGAACCTGAGGCCTGTCAAGGGACTTGTCCTTGGCCATACAACTATTGATTGAGCATGGAAGCCAGACTCCTTGTCTTGTGCTTGTATGGGTTGGAACCTGCCTTTGCTCATTATTTCCTATATGCACATTCATTTCAGTTGTTTCCCAAAAGCCACATAAGGGTGATGACCACATTGCTGAGGTCTTGGTCAGTCATTGTCTGGAATTATCCACACCTAGTCTACCTCCCTTCATGAGGCTAAATGAGGGTTCATGGCTCTATTTAGTCAGCCCTATTTGACCACATGTGAATATTTCTATCACTTTGATAAAGACAGGGAAGAAGACACACAGTAGGGGATGAAGAAACACTAGATTAGAAGTCAGAGTACCTAGTTCTAGACCCATTTACACCACTCCTCAGTTATGTGGCTATGGACACATCACTTGCCTGCTGTGAGCTTCAGGTTCCTGACTTATGAGTAAAGACCAAATAACTCTCTGTAGTATAGGATGAAATGAAAGAGAAGGGTTGAAGCAGAGGGGATAATCCCTGCTTCTCCTTCCAAGAATTTTGGTTTCCAAGTCTTTGGCCACACCTGGGTTTTAGGACCGGATGTCTGTTTGGAAATAGGAAAGGAATTTGCCTTCCTCTTCTCTCCTTCCATCTCCTTTTCTGTGGCACAGGTCGGGTGGGGGGAAATGAGAGGGGGAATGGGGATGGGGGTGGTGACTGTAGATGGTTCAACCCAGAGTATCAGAAAAATAGCAGGTGTTTTTGAAAAGAGGAGGATAAGATGCAGAGCAAAAGTCATCACATAAGTTAACAGAAGTCCCACATCTGAATATGAAATCAGTAAGCAAAGATGAAAAGAAGTCTTTTTCTAGTGACCTTAAAGTAGTGAGTGGTTCTCAATTGGGGACTATTTTTTTCTCTCCTGGGGGATATTTTTGGTTATCACAGTTTACAAGAGATGGGCTGGAGTAGGAGAGTCTACTGCTGGCACCTAGTGGGTAAGAAGCCAGGGATGTTGCTGAACATCCTACAGGCATGGGAGAGCCTCCCATGCCTAAGAATTATCCAGTATAGCAGCAGAAAAGTGTGACACCTTTCTTTACCCATCATTTGGATCACAGCCAACAATCCTATAACAAAAGACAGGTTAACAAAAGAAAAGCATGACAAATGAATTTAATCAAAGTTATGTGACATGGGAACCTTCAGAAATGAAGACCCACGAAAATTTCCAGGAAAAACTCATTTTATGCCTGGATTTCATGAAGAATGGACAGCTGTGTAGAAATGTGTTTGGATAAAAGGGTCTGAGCTAATAGAAATGGAGAGAAATTTAGCAGGCCTGAACATTCAGATTCTTCTTGTCTTCTGTGTTGTCATTCCTTCCTTCTTCCTGGGTATGGGGCAAGTTCCCTCTGGAATGAGGGTCTTATGACCTTATTCTTAGACAAGGTAAGTCAGAGAATTATTTATGGCCACTTCCTACACAAGAAGGTAGAGAAATATTTCTATGTTTTATGACTGGCTTTGTGGAACAATTTCTAGGACCAGCCTTGAGGAATTCTGGTTTCTGTGACTTGCTTTGGGAAAGAATAGGAGGGCAGAATAAGGCCAGAGAAAGTCTTCATTTCTGGGATTTTTGTTTGTTTGGCTAGTTTGGGTTTTGCTTTTTGAGCCTCAGTACCAGCCTATGCTAGTTTGTTAGGGTCTCTATTACAAAGTACCACAAACTGGGTAACTTAAACAACAAAAACTTATTTTCTCATAAGTTTGGAGACTAGAAGTCCAAGACCAAGATTGGTGGGACTTCTAAGATCTTTCCTTGGCTTATAGATGACTGTCTCCTCCCTGTATCTTCACATGATCTTTCTCTGTGTATCTGTGTCCTAATTTTTTCTTATAAGGACAGCAGTCATGCAGAATTGGGTCATCCCTCATAACCTCATCTTAACTTAATTACTTTATTAAAGACCTGTTCTCCAAATATAGTCACATTCTGAGGTACTGCAGATCAGAACTTTAGCATGAATATGTAGGGAGTTGGGGGAAGATGACAAAATGTAACTGAAAACACAGCCCAAAAAATCAATAATGCTCACAGTGAGAAATCCTTCAAATGTTGAAGCAGCTGGCAAATCTTAAAATAAACATTTTGGTATATTAAAGGTTTTTTAAAAATTCTCTTAAGACAGAGCTGAAATCCCTTCTTTGACATGGTTTCTCTGCCTCCTCCTGCTGATGTTGCTGTTGCTATGTTCTCTCTTCAGACTGGAGCCCATTGGTGCAGCTGCGAGCAAAGAATATTCTCTGGAGAAAAACTTGGAGAAAATGAAGTTAGACTGGGTTAACATGACATTCAGCTTGGTGAAATATAGGGACACTGTGAGTCTCAGTCCAACTATGGCTACCTGAAAACAGCCCCATTTATTATGTGGTAGATTACAAAGATAATTGATTCAGAATTGTAGCAGAACTCATGAAAGAATAATCCCTTACATCTGGATTGTTTCCTCCAATCTGCCTCCCTGCACCAGTCATCCTTCCTCTCAGACACCATTGGAGAAATGAATTTTCACATCCCAAAAGCCTTTGAGTCAGAGCAAGAGGCTTCCTGGGTGTAAAGGAACTGAGCTCTCTGAGGGAGAGCACAGGCTTTCCTGTCTCTGAAGGCTCCCCAGAGCTCTCAGAAGCACACCTGGGATGGACAGTGCCTCCCTCTTCTCAGATGCTAATATGTGCAGGAATCCCCTAGAGATAAGCTGCAGGTTCTGATTCATTGGTTCTGGGGTGGGGATTGAGATTCTGCAGCTCTAATAAGCTCTCAGATCACGTGCACCACAGTTTGAATCACAAGAGTATAGGTTTCTTTCTTTTCACTGGCATTTGTAGGTAACATTTGACTTTGTGCAGTACATGTGGAGATGTATTTGCCCTTGTGTCTCTAGAGTCTGACTTGCTCCTGGGATGGAGCATGGGGTAGGGATAGAGGCTGTTGACCTGTAAATCATGGAGGCCATAGGCTGAAGTTCACATATTACACACCATCAGCTCTTAGAGCAGTTCTTCCAATACTGGCTGCCCAATAGAATCATATGGGAAGCTTTATTAAATCTCAATAGATTCTTCCTTGCTCCCAGTTTCTCTAATGTTCACATGGATTGAGAACCCAAACCCTAAAAGGTTCCTATCACTTCCTTTTCCCCTGGGCTGCATATCCTCCTCCTGTGACTTCTTTTCCTCTTTGATTTCAATAGTCATGATGCCTTGTTTTCACCCTTGAAATAATAATTATCAATGACCCAGTGGGAGGGAGGAGAACTGGAGCACAAGGGCTTGTTACTGGGCCTCGTCCACCAAGGCTAGGTCCCCATGGGTCCCAGAAGCTTGGTGCTACTTGGTCTGATTGGGTCAGCTACTGTTGTAGAGGCTGTGGGTTGTGATGAGGAGTTCTGCTAGGGGACCAGGGAACATCTTCATTATTAGTGGTTCATCTTCAGTTTTTGACTGAAGCAGTACAGACAAGGATCAACAGCAAAATAGGAATAGAGATGCCACTTTTTAATAGCTAGATACACTTCTCAGTATGGAGGTACTGGTAAAAGGCAGATGAGAGAACATAACTTAGGGCCAGTTTAGCGACCAGATGCAAGCATGAAAGAAATGAAACCAAGGGAGAAAGGCCAGACTTGCCATAGGGACAGACCCTTATTTGGTGCAGGAGGATAAGTGCCACCCACAGGAGCTGACCTTGAAGGTACTGGAACCTTTTATGCTAGTAAAGTATAACCCACCAAATGTGTAGGACAGAGGTTCTCAAACTGTCAGGTGTGGCGATGCACATCTGAGATTCCAGCACATGGAAGGCTGAGGCAGGAGGATCATGGGTCCAAAGGCAGTCTGACCTACATAGTGAAAAGAATATTTTCAAGGAAGAAAATAGAAATTCCATTTCCTGCAAGACAGGAGTCCTTCAGGAATCAGCATGGAAAATGGAATGGGGGCAGCAGGTCTCTTGATTTTGATGGAGGATGCATCTTTATTTGCAGGATACAAGCATCTTGAGTGCAGTTGATGACATTCAACTACAACTCGATGACCATGTGATAAAGACCCAGACCATGTGTGGCTCTACCTTCATCAAGCCAATAGAAGCAGAATGCCGGGTAAGCAGAAATGGGGTTGCATATTTTGTGATGTCCCATTAGCTGTGTGTTTCTCAGAGAGGAGCAGAGGTTTGGCAAGTTCAATTAACAAAGATGCTTACTTTCTTGTGAATGGGAAAAGAAAGGTAGAACACAAGCCTGAAAGTAATAATAATCCAAGTGAGCATATTGCATGCTGAGGCATTGTAGCAGTCTGCCAAAAGAGAAGATGAGATTTGAATACACCAAATAAAAAATGTATTTGGAAAGTATCTTATGAGCTACATGAGGTTTGTCCTCCTTTGCTCATTGTCTGTAGGAGTGGCATAGGTTAAGGGCACAGGCCCTGGAGCCAAACTGTCTGGGCTCACATTCTGGCTTATTATTAATTGTGTGAACTTAGACAAGTTACTTGAACTGTTGCATCTGTAAAGTGAGATTTAAAATATCTAGCTTATATGGTTGTTGAATTAAGTTGGTCTCACATACATAAAACATCTTGGACCATTACTTATCACAGAATAAACATTATAATTACCTATTATTGTTACCTCACCAGAATATGATCTCTGAGAGGTCAAAAGCTTTTGTTTGTTTCATTCATTGCTGTATCCACATTATAGAACAGTGACCAGAACATGGGGGAGACTCAATAAGTATTTGTTAAACAAGCAAAGAATGAATGGATGGATGAATTTATTTTTTCAGTCACTGGGCCTGTGGTGCAAAATGCAGGTTAATGATTAAGATGTGACATGCTAAATTCACAGAAATGGGAAGAAAAGCTGGTACGTGTGCAGGAAAATTTGGATGCCTGGTTGAAATGCCAAGCCACTTGGCTGTACCTGGAACCGATCTTCAGCTCAGAGGACATCATAGCCCAGATGCCAGAAGAGGGCAGAAAATTTGGCACTGTTGATGGTTACTGGAAGACACTCATGGCCCAAGCAGTAAGCTTTATCCCTGACCAACCCACCTGCAGAAGTGTGGGGTGCCACACAGGTGTTAGTTATTGAAACTATGAAGTAATTTGGGATTTTTGAAAATTTCATATTTCATATCTTTGTTATAATTTGTTAAAACCTCAAGCATGGAAATATGTAACATAGAAATAACATGTTTTGAAATCTCAGCTCCCTAGAGGTAACCATTAGCAGTTTGTGTTACTTAGCTATCATTTCTAATAATAATAATAATAGTAATAATGATAATAATAATGGGGGGCTTTGTTATAGAATAATGAAATAAAGTTTTTGTAGACTGAGAATCCTTTTAGAATTCACATAGTTGTAGGGCTAGTGAAGTGGCTCAAGTGGTAGAACACCTGCCTACCTAGAATTCAAGTAATTGTCTACATTACTGTTATTTTTTAAATGTTTATTAGTACCTACAATGACTCCTGGGAATCAGAAAATACTTGAAGATGATAAGAATATGATTTCTTCCTTCATAGAATTCACTATCTTGTGAGGATACAGGTTTAAATACGTAAAGCTATAATGTATATGCAAGCTGTGTTTAGAATATAAGGGAGTGATTTAGTTGCCTGAGAGTGTCAAGGAGACTCTAAAGCAGGACACATGAATAGAGTCAGTGGAGGTAAGATTCACACTTTGGTCAGCCAGAATTGTGACCTTCATTACCAGGATGAGAAGAATGAGAATTCCAGTAGATGTCCCAGGCAATCAGGAGCAAATCTTATGAAGGCACATCATTGAAGGCTCATTTTTAAAGTCAAGTGTGCTCAAATTGTGCACATGTACAAAGAATTTGTCTCAAGAGAATATATCTACCTGCCCTGCCTGTTAGTGGGAGTAGGGTAAATAGGCATTTGTTTGGCCCAGACAGTGGAGCCAATTTTATATTAGTTAACCTTTTTTGGTCACAAGGTCCAGAAACTCAGTGTAGCCTTTGACCTTTGCTCTTCTTTCCATGTCTGCTCCAGTCTATCTACAGGCTGGCTGGCTCCACCACTCAGTCACACAGTGGGAGATAATCCTCACATAGCTCCAAAGCCTTCTCATTCAAGGGCCCAGCATAGACCAGTATACAATGTTACAATCTAAATTCTAAACCTCTTGAAGTTAAAATATATTTGACTTGGTTGGTTTATGGTGCACAGCCCTTACCCAGTCAATCACAACTGGAGGAACAAGGTCATGTTAAATGAGCATTCACCCCATGAAATGAGGAGTGGGGAGGGACTAGGAAGCAGTTAGCTGGGACATCATTAGTTGATGGGCTGGTGACACCTTCATTACCATGACCAATCTCAGCACTTGAGATCCCCATGATTATACTCACCCTTCTTTTTTTTTTTTTTTTTTGGTGGAACCCAGGTGAAAGATGCCAGGGTTCTGGTAGCAGCAGACCAGCCACGGATGACTGAAAAGCTTCAAGAAGCAAATCTTCTGTTGGAAGACATTCAGAAGGGGCTGAATGATTACTTGGAGAAGAAAAGACTATTTTTCCCCAGGTATCCAACATTGTTCCTTTATTTGGCATTACCCTCTTAAGCCATGAGTGGAATTACATTTTTCAGACTAGAGTTGGCTTTGACTAATTGATTCCATTCCTGATTGTCCATTCCCCAAGAGATAGCTTCCAAGAATGAGGCATGTCTTCATGGACATTATCTAGAATGAGGTTGAATAGACTCAGTGGGGGTCAAATCCATTTTTTGGCCAGTCAACTTTGCCATTTCTCCCAATTAAAAGGGTAAAGTACTCATGATTAAGAGCCTGGCCTTTAGGGTTAAACATGCTTTTAGAGTGCAAGCTTTTCTACTTATTAGTCTTAACACTTTTAGCAGATCTGAGCCTCAGGTTCTCTACTGTAAAATTAGATTATGTGAATAATGGCTCCTACTTAATATATTTACTGTGAAGATGAATTATCTAATGCATATAAAATACAGAAATGCCAGCTAAATTTTTTGCCATCAAAATTTATAGTTTCTGATGGATAATTTTACAAATATTTGACTCTTTTCCACAAAAAGTAATGCTCTGGGTGAAAGTCAAAGTTGTTTTAGAGGTCTGGTTCCAGAAGGATGGTGCTCACTCCTTCAAATCCATCCATGTCAAGTTCATGGATGGACTAACCCATGTCATTTGACTCTGATTAGGATATGTTTGATCCTAATTTGCCTATAAAAAAGTAAATTGTAATATTCCTTTATATGAAGCCAAATTTCCCTGTTCTCCATCACAAAAAGATGTTTTTTTAAATATAATTTGAAAGTGCCATAGTATCTGTTTAATGAAGAGTTATCCAATAGAACTTTTTACAATGATGGAATGTTCTATATTTGTTCTGCCCTGAATAGTAGCATTAGCTATATATGGCTATTGAGTACTTTAGATGCAGCTGGTACGCCTGAGAAAGTTAATTTTTTAATGTAAATAATTACTTGTGGCTAATGATTTTTGTATGAGCAACACAAATATAGCAAACATAGTGGAAGGAACCCTCATGCGGAAGAACAAAATTGAGAAGAGGTTTGGGCCTTTAGTTCTTTCTCACCATTGTCATTCCTAGTAAAATATGAATTAGCCAATATAATACAACATTTGCCTTACACCAGGATACTTCTCTAAGCACTTTGTACTTACTAACTTACTTAATTCTTACAATAATTCTGTGAGTTTGGAAGTATTATCACCATTTTATAAGTGAGAAAAGAGTAATTTTCCCAAAGGCGTAAGACTGGTAAATGGCCAAGCTAGAATTCAAGCCCAGGAGTCTGAATAATACTCAGTCATCTAACCTCTCTGAGCCACATTTTCTACCTAATTTAAACACACACACACACAAATATCTCAATAGTCTTATGCATTTTTATGAAATTAAATATTCTGAGATAACACTTTAAAAATGTTATCAAGAGTCACAGAACTTAATTTTATCTTGAAGGGCTGAGATGTGGATCAAGTGTTAGAGTGCCTGCCTAGCAAGCATGAAGCCCTGTGTCAAACCATAAGAAAATGGATCTAATTTTATCTCAAAATATGAAATGCTAAATAATAATTTTGTTGTTAGTATATGGTATTGAACCTTATTCATCATATATGATAGAGATAGAGGCTATATAAATTAATAGAGGTCACCCACATGCATTTCATTTAGGAGTAAGAGAAACTGACATCCTTATCAGAAATTGATTAGTCAGCCAGTAAATAATTATTGAACTTTCTATCTGCTCAATACTGCAGTTATTTTGTTTGCTATATAATAAACACTCCAAAACTTTGAAGCTTAAAACAACATTTATTAGCTCACAATTCTGTGATTTGGCAGATTGGGCTGGTCTCAGCTGGACGTTCTTCTGTCTTCACTGGAGCTCACTTATATGACTGTAGTTAACTGGAAGTCGATGACTTTAATCACTTGCCTGGTGGTTGGCTTCATTTTGGCTTGGCAGAAGGAATAGTGGGCTACATGTTATTCATCTTCCAAAAGGCTAGCCTGGGGGCTGGAGCTATGGCTTAAGTTGTACAGCACCTGTCTAGCAAGTACAAGGCCCTGAGTTCAAACCACAGTGCTGGAGGGGGGAAAAAGTCAGATTATCAAAAGGCTATCCTGTTTCATTCACATCATAGAAATCATGGAGTTCCTAAGAAAAGAAAGAATTATGTCTAGGCTTGGAACTTGCACAAACTCATGTTCACTAGATTTTGTTGGTCAAAGCAAGACAGAACCAGCACAGGTTCAAGAGATATGAAAATAGATTTCATCCCCTGAACCTGAGATGGTTCTGTGATCCTCACTAAATACTGTGGCCATTTTTGTAATTCACCATATTCAGTGAAGATTATAATCATATGATCCCTCCATTATGGAACTTCAGCCTGGTGGTCATGGAAGAGGTTTGTATCTTGAAAATATTATAAAGGTTTGTTTGGTTTTGCTGCTTTTAGAGCCTGCACAAAAGATGAAGTTGTCTATTATCTCTACTTTGAAAGTTGATAGAGACCTCTGCATGTGAATAGATTCATTATTAACATACACTTTCTTGTTTTCACCTATAACTTATCCTGGCATACCTGGAAAGAAGGAAAGACAAGGAACTCTCTCTCCTCTTCCCCAGGGATTCTCAACACTGATAGCACATTAGAATTATTAGTGTTTAAAAAAATACAAATCTCCCCAGACCTTACTTTGGATCAATTATATTGGAATCTCTGAGATTGGAACCTTAGCATTGGAACTTTTAGAAGCTCCCCAAGTGAATCTAAAATATAAGGAAAGTTGAGAACCACTACTCTATTTAAGCTCCCCTCTCCAACCACATTAAACTCACACAGCCCAACTTTCATCCTTGTTTTTGCTCTCAGATTGAAAACCATCTTTGCCTTCTATACCCCAGATAAAAAATAGTGAAGAGGAGTGGGCCTTAGAGAAGACTTTGGGATGCAGCTAGTGTTTAGCTGGGTGTGATCTACCTGTTGGAGAGTATGGACTTGCAGGAAATAGAAGTTCTCTTTTTTTTTGCTTTGAAATAGATTCTTCTTCCTGTCAAATGATGAACTGCTAGAGATCTTGTCTGAGACAAAGGACCCCCTCCGAGTGCAGCCACACTTGAAGAAGTGCTTTGAAGGAATTGCCAAACTAGAGTTTACAGAAAATCTGGAAATCGTGGGCATGATCAGCTCAGAAAAAGAAACTGTTCCCTTCATACAGAAAATCTATCCAGTTAAAGCCAAAGTAACTCCCTTATGTTTTTGTTGTTGTTACTGTTCTTCTTTTCTCCATAACAGAGCAAACCAGAGAGAGGCAGAGAACATGGTCAAGTTTTGGACTCTAATTCTGGGTATGGAACAGTGAGTGGTTTGGAAAAGTTAATCTTTTTGGGTTTCAGTTTACCCATCTCTAAGATGTAGATAATACTAAAAGTCATGTTGACATATGAAACTTGTGGAGTGATCTCAAACAAACTCGATGTGGAGGCAGTAGCAGGAATCAGATCCAAATAACTGATACTGTTTAGATCTCCACATGCAGAGCCCAATAAAAAGTGACCCAGTTAGTTCTTGGGAACTTATTTGTAAAGGTCAATAAGACATCATAGAATCAATGAGAGATCTGAAGGTACTTAACTCACGTTTTTATGTATATGCCCCCCACTTTTTTTTTTGAGACAGGGTCTTGCTATAGCCCAGGCTGACCTCAAACTCATGCTCCTTCTGCCTCAGCCTCCTGAAAGCTGGGATTATAGGTGTGCACCACCATGCCTGGCTGTTTGTTTTTTTTATAAAGTGTAGATTGCTTCCATTCCTGCTGAACCTGGCAACATCTTTAAGTGGAAATAGGCAAGTATTTTTGGCTTCATTTTGACTGTTTTTGCCACTTGCACATATAAACTGCAACAACCAGAAGTCACACCACCAACTCAGACACCAGCCAGGTAGCTTACATGTGCCTGAAGTCCATGGCCACAGTTAACCAAAATTCTAAAACTTACTAACTTGTTGCAGTTTTGACTACCTGTGGAGCTTTAAACAAAATCTAAATATCTGGGTTGCATAACTGAGGATAGGGATCAGGTGTCTATATTTTTTAAAGATCTCCAGAGGACCCCACTACACAGGAAAGTTTGGGAACCACTGTAATAATGCATAAATTAGAACCGATCATTTTTTTAAAAATAATCTTTTTTTTTTCTTTTATTCATATGTGCATACAATGTTTGGGCCATTTCTCCCCGTTCCCCTGCCCCCTCCCTCTCTCCCCCTACCTCCTTGCTACCAGGCAGAAACTATTTTGCCCTTATCTCTAATTTTAGAACTGATCATTTAAAGGAACAACTTCTTTTATTAGCTGAAATACAGATATTTCATTTGCTTCCTAAGAAATTTTCTGTTTCAGAAAATGACAGAAAAGAAATGTGTGTTAAAAATCTATTGCTTCTTTAGGAGGCACACACTTCCTAGAATACTATAAATAAATGTTAGGCAAATACAGAATATTGACTTGAAGAGGTATCAACTCTTTGTTTTCTCTCTAGCCCTGTTGACAGAAAGTGCTGGGTTCCTTCTACAACTCTCCCTCAGGCTTTGGTTGACTTGCTGCCTCCTTCTGTTTGTCTTGCCCGCAGGGCATGGTGGAAAAGTGGCTACAGCAGGTGGAGCAGATAATGCTATCTAGTATGCGGGATGTTATTGGACTTGGGATTGAAGCATATACTATGGTAAATAAGAATTGGGGTACATGTGCCAGGGTGTTGATACTGTAAGGGAAGTTTTGGGGACAAAGTTTAAGTGGATCAGTTCAGTTGGCCCTTCTGCCTTCTACTGAACCCTACTCCTTGAGCCTCTCTCTTTTACTTGTGAATCCTGGCACAATAAACATATTACTGGTGAAACATTTGCTGTTAAACAACAAATTTAAAAAAGGGTTAGCAGTAGGTCCTTTCTTTCACGTGGAATTTGGGGTACAAGGTCTCTTAGATCCCCTTCCAATTCAGCATTCACTTGTGTTACAGTTTCCCTGAATGCCACAACTCATTAAGCCCCCAAAGCCTTAAGAGAAACAAAGCCTAAGAGATAAAGAATCTGTCATAACAACTCTTTAGCTAACTGCGAGCAAGGTTCATGTTGCCAGACTGAATTTTGTCCCCTCTACTTTAAATGCTTTTCTTACTTCCAGGCTTTTGTTCCCATTCCCAGGAGTCCTATCAACCAGACATATTTAGTCAATTTTTTACACTAAAGTATTCAGTACCAACCCTGCTGTCTGTCATAGTAGGGTTGCATTGTAAATGAAAGGACAATCCTTCTTCCTATGATACATTCTAAATCAAAAACTAAAGAAAAACAGCTTCCAGTATGAAATTATTTCATGCAAGTGGATCTATAGCAAGATTCAGCAAACTCTTTCTCTAAAGGGCCAGATGGACATTTCCACTTATGAGGGCCACATTCCTTTTGCAACTATTTAACTTTGCCTTTGAAGCACAAAAGCAGCATAGATGATATGTAAGTGACAAGCATGGCTATGTTCCAGTAAAACTTTATTTATAAAAGCAGGCATTGACAGATTGGTCTACAGGCTATCATTTGTCCACTCTTGATAAGGAGGTAAAGAAAACAAAGCGGAAGGAGGAAGACATGGATAACAAAACTGCAATAATATGTAATCATTAAAAACAGTAGTTATTACTCTGTCTGAACACCACTTTGATTACCACCATGTGAAGAATTGTTGATGAACACGAAAGAATGCAAAGTTGATGAGATTGTTGGTATTTTTTCTTTGTCATGAATTTTAGGGAGGAGGACATAAATCAGTAATCCTGAAGATGTTGAACCTCACAGTATCTGTGGGTGGAAGAGGATTTTATTTTTGTTGTCACAGTGAGGTGGTAGGGCACGTTTTTTACAAGGTCAGGTTAAATTACATATGAAGGACTGATCCTACAGCAAGCCCCACTGTCCCTTCCTAGGTTCCTCGGAACTCCTGGGTCTTGCAGTGGCCTGGACAGGTGGTTATCTGTGTTTCCTCCATCTTTTGGACCAAGGAGGTATCCAAAGCCCTGGCAGAAAACACGCTACTGGTAAGTGACCTACCATGGAGCTTGCAGAGGAGATCCAGACATCCACCAGGATTTGAATGACGAGTAATTGGAGTACTATGTTTTGTTTCCTAAACAAAAATAATTTGGGACACAGCATTACAGACACCAGAGTTCTTATGGGGACAGCAAGATGGAGAATTTGGAATTGGGGATGTCATGGAGGCCTGTAGTGCAGGACCATTCACAGTTTTTCCTGGACAGAAATCTGAGTTGCAAGATTTTAAGTTTTATTAGCCTTTCCTTCCAGGGGTCAAGTTAGCAGGATTTCCAGCAATAGAGACCCCCTGTCTTCTTCCTAGGCCAGAAGACTAGTGTTTTCCTCTCTTCCTCACTACTGTTACCTTCTCAGCTCTCCCAGTCCCAAACCTTGTATTTCCAGTCAATTGATGCTAGTGCTTGAGAGTTCAAGACCTGGATGAGTAAGTTCAAATCCTGACACATTCATTTGCTGACTGTGTGACCATGAGTAATTTACTTCACTCAAATTTCTGTCTCTTTGTCTATAAAAATTCAAGAAATTGCCACACCATGTTTTAGTATAGTAGGAGGATTAAATGAGATGCTGATAAATTATTCCCTACTTAGATGTTAAGCTGTAAACCCTGTAAAGAAGAAGCTATGTCTGTCCTGCTCACTGTTATATCTTCAGGGGTTAATGCAGCCACACACATAGTAAGTGCTCAATAAATATTTGTTGAATGAATGAATGGTAACTCCATTCCCAACCTTTCTACTGTGGTATAATTCCCCAAAATTGTCTCATTGATCCCTATTACTCCCCTATAGAATATTGGCATGGACCAAAACATATTTTAATTTACTACATTTTGTTTTATATATTAAAAACCAAACAAATTTTGGTCAAATACTTGACCAAAATTCAAATTTATACACATTCCATGTTGATGATTCTAATAGATATATTGCAAACTGCATTTATACTTGCAAATCACATTCATGTACATCATTCTGAACTTCAGAAGCTAAAAATTTATGATTTTTGTAAATGCATCTCTGTGCCCCAGTTTTCCTACCTCTAGACAAGGAGAATGTATTCCATCACACACCAAGCCCCGATATGTGTTCATGTTGAATGATGTGCATTGGTACTCTAAAGGAACCAGGTGTTGGCACGGGATAATCATCTATCCATCCACCCACCCACCTATCCATCCATCCATTCATTTATCCATTCATACATTTATTGTCTCTTAACAAATATTTATTTGGCATCTGCTGTATGCTGGGACTGCTACTAGGCAAAGAAAATTAGACAGTCATTGTCCCTATCCTCATAGATTTATTTTTGATCTAGTGGGGAAAATAAAAAGGGTCTTATATAGGACTGTGATAAGGAAAGAACAGAGATCCAGGAAGTGAAGAAGTGTGAGAAGGGTACAAGAATTTAGAAGTATTTCCCAAAAAATAGTATCTAAGAGAGACCTAAAATATAAGTAGGGATAAGCAAAAGATAGACAGAGGAGTCTTTGCTCCCATTTCCTGCATGGGGAACAGGAAATGTTTCTCTCTCTTTTCTCCACACTGTTCCTCTCCTAATAAACTTTACTGTTACTTTTACAAAGTCAAAAAAAAAAAGATAGACAGAAAAATGTTCCAGAGATGGGAAAAATGTGCAAAGCTTGAAATAGGAAAAGCATAATGGGCTGGGGTGTAGCTCAGTAGTAGAGAACCTACCTAGTATGTATGAGGCCATGGGTTCAATCCCAGCACTGCAAAGAAAGAAAAAGACAGTAAAAGAGGAAGGGAGGGAGGGAAGGAGAAGAGAGGAGAGAGAGAGAGAGAGAGAGAGAGAGAGAGAGAGAGAGAGAGAACACAAGAAGAAGGAGGAGGAAGAGGAGAGGGAGGGAAGGAGGAAGAGAGGGACAGACATGATGCATTCCAGGAACTGAAGAACTTTGGTCTACAATGGCTGTGGAATGGGCAGTTAAGGGATCACCAGGAGCTTTTCAGACAGTCCAAGGGCAATGAGAAAACACTGAAAAAAAAATTTTTTTACTGTGTGCCAGATACTTTATTATTAATAGCAGTAACAACCACATAATTACATGTTGGATGCTTTATTCATATCAGTCATTATGCCACGTGCTTCACTACTCTATCTCAGTTCCCCAGTAAAATGCAGAGGTAAATCCAGATCTCTTGACAGACCTGTGCACTGAGACTCAGAGGCTTAAAGCCGTTGGCCAGGGCCACATTGCTAGACGGAGGGAGGGGTGGGATTTGAATCTAGCATGGTCTGTTTCTTTTCCTTGTTTTTTACTTCTTCATTTTGAGATAATGTCAGGGATTACAAATCATGTTGCAAAAATAGTACAAAGACTTCTCATAAGTTGGGAGACAGAGAAATAAATAAACCGTTGGACAGTGGTAGGAAGACATAATGGAGATACACACAGGAAGTGCACAGATTCAGGGAAGAACTGCAGAGAGATGGTCGCCTTTGCCCCTGGGATGGAGGGAGATGAAAAAGTGACCAAGCATACAATACCTGGAAAGGAAGATTTTGAAGAAATTCCAGGCCCAGATTGAGAAAGTGTTAGAAATTGAGAGATGATTCTGTGTTGGGTAGATCATTTACTACTAGGTTTTTGTTATGTCTTTCTCATTACTCCATCTTATCCCTTTGTATCTCTAAAATGTTTTGCCATAGGAAATAAAATAAATTGGCTTTTTGCAAAACATGTTAAAGAAAAAAACAGATTTCTCATATACCTTCAACCAGATCTTCCTGATGTTAACATCTGAAAATAACCATTGCACAATCAAAATCAGAAAATAATCATTGATACAATATTATTATCTTTTAAGTTGACTAATTTAAATTAAGCCACTATCCCTATCCCTACTAAATGTCTATTTTTCTGGTCTAAAATCTAATCCAGGAAGACATGTGGCATTTCATTTTCACATCTCCTTTAATCTGAAAAAGTTTTAGTTTTTTTTAATTGATTCTGGCTTATTGCATAATTCAGATATAGTAAAATTCACCCATTTGGCACAGGGCTGTAAGTTTTGACAAACACATGCATTCATGTAAACACCATCCTTTTTTTTTTCTTTTATTATTCATATGTGCATACAAGGCTTGGGTCATTTCTCCCCCCCTGCCCCCACCCCCTCCCTTACCACCCACTCCACCCCCTCCCTCTCCCCCCCACCCCCTCAATACCCAGCAGAAACTATTTTGCCCTTATTTCTAATTTTTGTTGTAGAGAGAGTATAAGCAATAATAGGAAGGAACAAGGGTTTTTGCTGGTTGAGATAAGGATAGCTATACAGGGCATTGACTCACATTGATTTCCTGTGCGTGTGTGTTACCTTCTAGGTTAATTCTTTTTAAGCTCACCTTTTCTCTAGTTCCTGGTCCCCTTCTCCTATTGGCTTCAGTTGCTTTTAAGGTATCTGCTTTAGTTTCTCTGCGTTAAGGGCAACAAATGCTAGCTAGTTTTTTAGGTGTCTTACCCCTCCCTTGTGTGGTCTCGCTTTTATCATGTGCTCATAAACACCATCCTGATCAAGGTACAGCACAGTTCCACACCAGTCAAAAAATGCTTTCACACACTTTGTAGCCAACGGTACTTTTTCCTACTCTAAGCCTCTGGCAATTGCCTGTATGTTTTCTGCCATGTAGTTTTGCCTTTTCCACAAATCATAAAAATAAAATCATATAGTGTGTAGCCTTCCAAATCTACCTGTTTCAGTTAGCATGATGTATTTAAGGTTTACCTAGAGGTAAATGTTTGGGGGTGAGGGAAAGGGTGATTTAAGGGATGACATCCAGGAGTGTGACTTGGGCCATTGAACGGTTGATATGATGTTAGTCCCTGAACTGGTGATTGCCAGAGAAGACTCCAGCTTAACTAACTGTCCTTTTCTGTGCCCTGTCCAGAATTTTCTGCAAAAGAGCAATGACCAGATTGCTCAGATCGTGGAGCTGGTGCGAGGGAAGCTGAGCAGCGGAGCTCGGCTCACTCTTGGAGCCCTCACCGTCATCGATGTCCATGGTGAGCATGGAGACTTCCCCGGGCATTGGCAGCCAAGCTGGCCTCTCGGTTCTCCCCAGTGGAGTGGCCTAGGGTTTCCTAATTTATCAGGGAGAGGCTTCTCCAACTGAGAGTAAGGTGAGGGGTAGGGACAGAAGCCATTGCCAAAGGCTCTGTGTATCTCCATTTTACATTTCCTCCTCCCATCCAGAACCCTGTTCCCAGCAGCCTTCCAAAAAGAGATCTACTGAGACTGTTATGTCCAAGGCTCTTCTGAGTCACCAACTTGTTGAATTATTTTTTAGTGCTATCAGTAGTTAACATGTTTGAGTACTCACCAGGACCCAAGCTTTGTGCTAAGTGCTTGCATTAGCTCATTTTCACAGACAGTTCACAGATTAAGAACCTGCTGCGAGAGAGGTAAATAACTTGCTGAGAGGCACACATTAAGTAGGGGCAGAGGCTCCTCTGTCTGTCTCCAAACCTAAAGGACTGAGAATGGACAGTGATAAAGGGAGAGGGTAGTGAGAGAGGATGCCTTCCAGCTCTTCCTTTAAAAAAAAAAAAAGAGTAGGAGGAAGAACTGGAATCTTTATATAAAACAAACCACCTCCACACTCACTACATCATCACCAAGGAAACCAGGGCTGGACCAGTCTGGTTGCCTGGGAACAAACAGCATTTCTCTCCCACGAATTGGGAAATAATGACAGTAGGAAATATTTACATAATGTTTTATATGATAGAGTCTCTCTCTCTCTCTCTCTCTCTCTCCACCTCCCCTCCTTTCTGTGTGCATGTGCACTCATTTAGTCCTCATAACTGTATAAGATGGATACTATATTATCCCCCTTTCACATATTGTACAACTGAGAGACAGAGAGGTTGAGAAACTTGCCCAAAGTTACACAGCTAGTTCATGGTGGAACCAGAATTTGAACGCAGGTAGTCTCATTTCAGAGTACACACTCTTCTATTTGAATGAGGTCTTCATGCAGCAGACCATTCTCTGCCCAGCTCCTTGGGAGAAAGCAAAGATAGACTTCTGAGTGATACTACTGCTTGCTGGTTGGAGGTGGGCAAGGTAGGAGAGCCTGAAATAGCCTGCAGGGTAAGGAGTGACCTTGGTAGGATCCTCTTCTAACTGAAGAGTCCATGGAGTTAGGGGAATTCTGATGGCTCTTGTACGTGTGTTTCTGCACAGCTCGTGATGTAGTGGCCAAGTTAGCTGAGGACAGAGTCTCCAGTCTGAATGATTTCCAGTGGATCTCGCAGCTGCGCTACTACTGGGAGGAAAAGGATGTGAATGTGCAGATGATAACCACAGAGGCCTTGTATGGCTATGAGTACCTGGGAAATTCCCCCAGGCTGGTGATTACGCCCCTCACTGACCGATGCTACAGGTAAACTTGGGGGCTCCCTGCTTGAAGGGTGAGCAGAGAACTCCAAAAAGAAAAGACTTTGGGAAGAAGGTAAAGGGTGCTTTAGGTTCCTTACCTGCTATATTGTAGATTCTCAGATTTCAGAACTTTGTCCTTAGTCACCATAGTCCCACAGATACACATGAACACTAGGCATTCAGGCTAAAAATGAAAATCCAGTAGGAATCCTAGTGCAAATTGATATATTGGAACCAACCAGCAGAACACTGGAGTGACTGTGAAAATGACCTGGTGCTTAAATATGAAGTTCTACGATAGGCAAGACCTGAGAGGTACCTGGAGATACTTGGCCAAAAGATAGACCAGGCTGGTCAAGGTCCCAGATCAGATGCTCCAAGCTAGCTAGCCAGTCTGATGAAGAGATGCCAGCATTCTGTGCTCAAAAAAGCACTTTGCCACTGTCCTTGGAATTCCTAACATTGGGAACCTGAATTTGTGATCTTACCAATGTTGTGATGTTCAGATTTTCTTTGCTTTTGTATTCTACATAGTAGTGAATTTGTTTACATTATAAAAATAATAGTTGAAAGAATCCTCTCCTTTCAAAATCCTCAATCACTTGTTTTCTGTGTTTTATAATTTTCATTATTCATTTTTTCTACTCATTATTCAGCAACTATCTTTCTTAAAATAAATTTATTGTGTATTTTTAAAATATTCAACATACCATAAGCTATGTATATTAGCAAAATGATTACTATAGTGGAAAAAATAAACATATTTGTCATACATAATTATTTTTCCTATAATAAGAGACGTTATAACTGCTCATTTAGCAAAAATCCCAAATAGTCTTCATAAGCAACCATTTCTTGAACTTTCCTGTGAACCATGTATGACATCAACAAATCCTAAATCTAATTAAGGTTGGAGGACACATGTTCAGAACATTATAAGAGCAAGGTATAGTAGCTGATACCTGTAATCCCAGTACTCAGGAGGCTGAGGAGGAAGATCATGAGTTAGAGGCCAATCTGGGCTATATAGAGAGACTGTGCCTAAAGAAGAAGAGGTAGAGTAGAAGAAGAGGAAGGGGAGAAAAAGGAAGAAGAGAAGTACAAGATAGTGTGTTAAGTTATATAGGACTAGGGGCATGGCTCAAGTGTCAGAACACTTGCCTAGCATGTGCAAGTCCCTGAGTTCAACTCCCATTACCACACACACACACACACACACACACGCATACACAAAGTCTTACACCAAGTGCTATGGGACCAGTTTTACCACATGATTCATTTCTAACATCTTGGCACCTACTATATGCACTTTCTTTTTTTCACTAAGGATATGGAACCAAATAAAAATATAGCTCCTGAATTTAAGACTAATTAATCTAGTAGGAAAAATGTTTTTTTTTCATCATTCCACTAACCCTGGTGATCTTTGGAATGTGGATTTTATGAGTATTTTTCACTTCTACTTGATTCTCTTATGTCTGAATGTTTGTATCCCTTATGTATGTATGACTGAATAGTCATACATTGGGACAAGTGGTTATGGGAGCCACCACACACCAAACTCTGAGATTATACTACTGAGTAAAACAGTACTTTTTTTACAGTGATGATATATTGGTCATATAATTATGGGGGAATTTTAAGCTATTTGTTTGAGTCAAAATAAATAAAAAGCCAGTATGTTTCCTATGTCTTAGGACTTGGACACTGAGTTTTTTTCCTTCCCCTTAGGACACTGATGGGTGCTTTAAAGCTGAACCTTGGTGGAGCTCCAGAGGGTCCAGCTGGAACAGGCAAAACAGAAACCACCAAAGATCTGGCCAAAGCCTTGGCCAAGCAGGTAGGGAAGTGCCATCCATCGCCACCCTTTCCTCCTGCCCTCTGAACTCCTGACCAGGACCATGAGTGTGAAGTTCAAGATAATTTAGTGTAATGGGCAGAGTGGAGCCTAGCTTGTTCAGTAGAACAAGAGAGGAGCTCCACCCCTGTTTCATGATGCTGGTGATTCAGATATGGTGGAATCTATTCTGAATAGGGCCTACATCCTCCTTCTTTCTAGTGTGTGGTCTTCAACTGCTCAGATGGTTTGGATTACAAAGCCATGGGGAAGTTTTTCAAGGGACTGGCCCAGGCTGGAGCATGGGCTTGTTTTGATGAATTCAACAGGATCGAGGTAACTCTGCTTCAGGGGGCCTTTTTTGGACTTCAGCTTCTTAATGACAGGGCCTGTCTCCTCTATGGCCCATGCATAGAGCAGATACTTAATGAACTAAACATAAGTAGCCACAAGGAGACAGAATGCATATTTTATACACATATCCCCCCTTCCTGTTAAACTCATTCATTCACTGACTCATTCAAAAATGTATTGAGCAGCTACTATAGGTCAGCAACTCTGCATTTGTTCATAATACAAAGATAAATAAGAAATTATGTTGCTTTCTAGACCGTTATGATCCAGTAAAGGGAAGTAAAAATTAAATGAAAAAGTAGAGTGTGATAGACATCTATCACAGATGTCTGTAGAAGTGGTACAAAGAGCACATCCCAAAAGAGTAAGCGATTAATTCTGTTTGGGAGAATGGAGATCAGGAAATGTAAACATGGAATTTGAACCAATAAACACCGAATACCTCTTCAGTGCCAAGCACTATGCTGTGTAGAAACAAAGATAAAATACTGTGGAAACTATTCACAAACATACACACACACCAGTTTTCCCTTCCTTTGTCAAAACCCCAAATCATGCTCCTAATTTTGAGCATGAAGATCTGGAAGAATTGATTGAGTTCTTCCTTTGCTAACTGAGGGAGCTGGGGTAGCGCTCTATCAGCTGGGTATTCTTGCCATAGGTAGAAGTGCTGTCTGTGGTAGCCCAGCAGATTCTCAGCATTCAACAAGCCATTATCCGGAAACTGAAGACCTTTATCTTTGAAGGCACTGAACTCTCTCTGAACCCAACTTGCGCTGTCTTCATCACCATGAACCCTGGGTATGCTGGCAGAGCTGAGCTGCCAGACAACCTCAAGGTAAACATCAGCATGCACTTATAAAGTGTGAGTGTACTTTATAGTATAGAAGCTTCTGCAAGTATACACCTGAGGGTCTCATAGAGAAGCCCAACATAGAAACAAGTGACATTTTTTCAGCTGTGATAAGCAATAATGAAGTGACAATGGTAGTAAAATAGTACTTGTCTGCAGAACACAGATACCCCAACAAGGTCTCATGGAGAAGCGAGAAACATACGTAATGACGAATGACAAACAGAAAGCAATGAACACTAGAACAAGGATCACCATTTCAACTGTCTGCAGGGGTCAGATTAGCAAGAGAAGCAAATGAGGCACAGTAGGACTTTGGTGAATGGCTTACCTAGAGGCAGCAACCACCTTTTAGCTCCAGACTACTATTGACAAGCGGAAGTTGTCAAGTCTCATTCTTTCCAGGAGAAGCTAGAAATTGAGTTTGTTAGACAAAGTCTGATTTTAAGATATTGGCTTGATGTAAAAAGTTACTATATAAGTGGGGCAGGGAGGGGGTCAAGGGGGAGAGATGGTGGGAGTAATCTAATCAATGTACAATGTAAGCTTATTTGGAATTGTCATAATGAATCCCCCCATACAACAAATATATCCTAATAAAAAATTAGTATAGGCCAAACAAAATAAATCCATTTACAAAACAGCATTGGATTTCAACATATAGGACTCTGGCAGGCCTAGGCTGGGCCACATGGAGCTACCCCTTGACTACTAAGCTGGTTAAGCCTGAGTAGTTTCCATACCAAAACAAGTTGTTCCAACCAACTACAGATAACAAGAGCACGTATTTGTCCCCATTGCCTATTGCTGTTCTTGGCCTTGGTCTAGTAGAAGGAAAGAGACTCTGAAAGAGAAGGGAAGATGGCCCTAGAAGGTCTTAGCATGCTGCTTTCATAGAAGGGAAAAATCCAAAGGAATGACCAGGTCTTCTCTTAATGGAAAAACATCTGTCACTCAGCTGCATGAAAAGAGTGGCCAGAGAGAGACTTCCAGACCTCCTTTATTGATTTATGGTACCCATGGGTGGAAGTAATAAGAAAGACCCAGCAACACCCACATCTACAGACTATACATGGTTCTCCACCTGCTAGAAATGCATTATGATTAGTGTCCTGGAATCTCATTCAGACAGATCCCTTCTTCTCCTCCAAAATGGAAAAGAATGAAGGAATTCCATGAAGTGCTCCTCTCCTATAGGTCAGCATAGGCCAGCAAGTGTCAAAGTAGAATGTGGGCCCATGTGTCTCATTTTTTACCACTCAGTTGTTATAAGCACCCCTTGTACCAGCCAACAACCATGTTAGATCTGCACAAGTGACTTTAACGAGACCAGAAAACACTGGGACTGGTATCAAGAAGCTTCTAATCTCAACTCTACCTCTAAGTAATTGGATGACTCACTTCTCTTAAATTTACAATAACTCACAGTACTCTAGTGCTCACTATACTCTACATTCATTTGTAAGTCCTTCACTTACATGATCTCATTTGTTCTCATGATAATTCTGTGAAGAGGTAAAGTTGTTAGTGCATTTTGAGATGAAAGAGCTGAGGTTCAAAGGGGTTATATAGCTTGTCCTACATCTAGTCAGTAGCAGAACAAGAACTCAAGATCTGTCTGACTTCAGGATTCTTCTTATGCATATTGGTCTTGCATTCCTAAATTACTTCCCATATTGAACACTGGAGTGATCCAACAGTTGAATGATGCTATGAGATGTCCTCATTTGTCATAGAACAGGGTGTTATTAGGATACCAGCACCTAGGACCTACCATACAGCATTGAGGGACCCAATACAATATCGTGTACCTGGACAAATCACTGGACAGGTCTGTGAGCAAATTATCTGACCTCTGAAGATAGTCTCTATATTAATTAATTCTCTGATCCTCCTTGATTGTCACTGAAGTGGCCTGGATGGTCATGCCTCTATAGTTATGCCTTCCCAAGTATTCACAGTATGTGTTCAGGTTCTCATTTGTTATTTCTTTTCCAGGCCTTATTTCGGACAGTGGCCATGATGGTGCCAGATTACGCACTCATTGGAGAAATCTCCCTCTATTCTATGGGATTTCTGGATTCAAGAAGGTATATTACATTAGTGTTTCAGTGGGCTCGAAATGCCCTTGAAGAGTGGCTTTTTTGTGTGGAGGATTCAAGGTGGATTGCCTATTGGAAGAAAAGAGAAAAACATGAGAAATTTGCTTTCTCTCGCTGGCTGATCTGAGAACATACAGCCCTGGTTTTGTTCTAACCCAATTCCTGACTGGGAAATGGCCTGCTCTCTCTTTAAAAGTAGCCACTTATATCATCCCCACTCCTCTCTCTACCACATCTATATCCACATTACTAAGTGGTTTAAGGCAAGACTATAAAAGCATTTGAAGTGATTCCAAAGTTGAAGGGAAATTTTTAATATTATTTAACTAATTTAATACTTTAATCAAATTGTTAGCAACATAACATTTATTGACTACAATCAACTAGGTACTTATTCAAGTATTACCTAGTTTTTCCAAGACACACACACACACACACACACACACACACACACACACACACACATCATTTTGTGTTGTTTTATTCACACAACACATTCTACAAGGGTTGTGAGTAATCATTGTAAAGTGGTTTTTATTGACAAATTTCATTTTTGTCTTTTACCATAATCAATTTTTGTCTTTGTCATAATCAAATTTTTGTCACAACAGATGTCTCTTCAGGTGAATATATAGGTGTCCTTGTTTGTAATTCAAAGGGCTGCAGAAATTCTCAATAGAATTGCCACCCTTCCTAGGCCAAGAGGCTTCCTTTATCATATGAGGCTTTATTTTTTCTCTGGTGGACCTGGATTACATCAGTTTGCCCATTCAATTCACTTCTCTATTCAATCAACAAATCCTCATTGATCTACTTGTTCAGCTCTGTGCTAGGGGCTACTGAACAACACAGTCTTGATTTTTTTAAAAATCATATCTATTCTGTAAAGGGGATCTTCACAAGGGGAATGTGCTTCAGTATATTGCTTGGGGTAACCCTGACACCCAAATCCTAGTGGCTTAGCATGACAGAAGTTCATTTTTCACTCACTGGAAATCCAAATAGATGTTTATGATCATGAGCATTGCTCCCTAAGGGATGGTTCAAAACCCCAGGGTATTTACGTGATGACCACAGCACGTAGCATGGAGGCTCCTGACCACTCCTGGACATGGCATGTGTCACTTCCATTCATGTTCCATTGGCTAGAACACAGTAGCATGACCCTCCTGACTGTATGGCAGGCTGGGAAATGTGGTTCAGCAAGAATAAAAAATGGCCATACACATCAGTGTTCATGTGTATAGTGCTGAGTATATTACATTTTGAGTTGGTTTTCTGAATTAAAAAGTAAAATATAGCCAGGCATGGTGGTACTCATCTGCAATCCCAGCACTTGGGAGGTGGAGGCAAGAGAATCTCAAGTTCAAGGCCATACTGGGCTACACAGTGAGACCTTGTCTCACAAAATAAAGTACAATATTGAACAAAATTGTAATGTCAGAGAAGTGAAAAAAGGTGAATTACTTCTGTAACCCTCAGACCCATTCTTCAGGGATTAATATTGTTAATAGTTCATGTATTCTTCCTATGAGCTCACATATCCATATTCATTCATACATATACATGAAAGTATGTAACATAATTTCATATACAGTACATGTTATTCATAAGTGTAGGCTTGCTTTTTTTTTTCATCCTAACTTAGAAAGAGAGCTATGTATCATTAGCTCATTATGGGTAAAAGACTTGTGAATGATAGGCTGGTCCATGAAGTTCATGGGCAAGTCTATCTCTGAAAAGACAAAGACATGGATGTGCAGACACATCTTTGCCCTCCTAGTCTTGCCCAGAAGATAGTTGCGACCTACCGTCTATGCTCAGAACAACTCTCCTCCCAGCATCACTATGACTATGGCATGCGTGCTGTCAAGTCTGTGCTCACTGCTGCAGGCAACCTGAAGCTCAAGTATCCAGAGGAGAATGAAAGTGTCTTGCTGCTCCGGGCCTTGCTTGATGTCAACCTGGCTAAGTTCTTAGCTCAAGATGTCCCTCTGTTTCAGGTATGCAGTGGTTTGGAACCAAACATTCAGGCTCAGTTTTGGCACCTTCTCCACATCTTCTTCTTTCTTCTCAAGTTTGAGTCTAATAAGCCAGCTCCATTTGCCTGATTCCCACCATCAATGTTAAATAATAATAGTGATAGCAATTATCCCTGTCTAGTTCCTAGTTTTAGTGAAAATGGTTTTGCTAATAGGATAGTATTTGCTGTTGGGTTTGGGTAGTTGTTTTATCCAATGTAGTTTCTTTTTGTAACTAATCTAATGCTTTTCTTCTTTACCCAGGATGTAAGCTTCATAAAGCCTAAATCATGACTATCTTGTTCATTCCCAACACAGTGACTAGAAAATAGTGCCATGGCCTCATTAAATATTTACTGACTTTTAAACTTTGGGGAAGGGAAATCCTGATAAACAGAATGATATTTGTAATTTTGGATGAGTTTTGGTATAGGAAAAATGAGCTTTGGGAAATCGTATGTTCTCCCTCATCTGCAGACTTTAGATCTAGTACAAATACAGCAATGTTGTTGGACTTGGGTTACATGACAAGGGAAGAGAACATACGGGAGGTATGGGGACAGGTAGCAAACCCAAAACATGAAAGCGTTTGATGTCCCCACTCTAGAGGAATTAATACAGAAACCTTAAAGCTACGGGGGTCAGCATGAGAAGTGGATCAGGAACCAGTGTAAAGAACAGTTAGAGATGAATCAACTTGGGTTGTAACACATTTGTACATGGAAGCAATGCTAGGAATCTCTCTGTATAGCTACCTTTAACTCAACTAGCAAAAGTGCTTTGTCTTCTTATTATGCTTATGTCTTCTCTTCAACAAAATTAGAGATAAGGGCAGAACAGGAAGCGAGGTGGGGGAGAGGGTGGGTGCGGGTGGTGGGGGGAGAAATGACCCAAACAATGTATGCACATGTGAATAAATGAATAAAAAAGAAAAAAGAAAAATGAGCTTTGGGGTTTTTCAAACATTTCTGCTATCGGTAGATTTCATTTGGGGAAAATATTACAATCATATACAATCACTTTCTCTTGAATTCTTACCAACAGGGAATTATCTCAGACTTATTTCCTGGCATTGTTCTTCCAAAGCCAGACTATGAAGTTTTTCTGGAAGCACTGAACGTAAACATCAGAAAGATGAAGCTCCAGCCAGTACCTTGGTTTATTGGGAAAATTATCCAGGTTAGTTCCTTATACCCATATGGGAATGTGCCTATTCTACCATCTGCTGGAGTCAGAAACGAGAAGGACTTGGGCCAGACAGAAAATGGGCTGGAGTTAAAAGATCTCTTGACCATTTCTTGTGACTTCAATTTTTGTTTCTAGGAGTTGAAGTTTAAAATACAACATTTTCCCTATGGCCACACTCCTTGGGGGTTTCTTTTTAATTTGGGAATGAAAAAGAGCTTCTTGGGGCATTTTACTTTAAATTACTTAGGACTTTCTCAGTTTCAAAGGGTAGAATTCCAACTCAAACTATCTTAATCCACAAAAGGGAATTTATTCACTTACCTAACTTGAAAGGTTTAGGAATGTGCTGACTTTAGGCATAGCAGGATCCAGGTTTTTAGATGTCATCAGGAATGTACCTCTCTTCATTTCTGAGCTCTGCTTCTTTCTGTGTGTTAAAGTTTATTCTACTCCCAGCAGCCTCAGGTTCAAGTCCAGCAGAAAACAAAGCCACTCTTTAAGTAGCTCCAAGAAATGTCTCAGAGTTAGCTTTGGATGGTTCTAATAAAGTCGCATAATCACTTCTGACTCATCACAGAGATATGACTTGGACCATGGCTAAGTAGGGATGGAATTAGCTCCACCCAAGTCATATCAACTGAACCACAGGTTCTGGGTCCCCAGGGAGGATGAGGGTTCTGTTATCAATAGAGGACAGATTATATTGGGCAGGGGAATCACAGATGTCTTTGCAGACGTGGCCCTGAAGAACCTCCTTGAAGTTTCTTGCTAATCTCAGGCTTCCACCTACCCCCCTCCATGGGATTGCTTTCTATGTAAAACTAATTTACAAAGATAAATTGAATGAAATAAGCCCCAAATGCATGGTCTTTGCAGAATTACAGGTCAGAGAGACAAGAGACCTAAAAATACCATCTGTTCCAGCCTTCATAAGGACACAAATATGGGATTAATACAGACCTAGGTTCAAATCTCTCCTCCATCAGATTTTGCTGGGAGATTTTGGGCAAATTATTTCATCTCTTTGAGCATCAGTTTCCTCATCTGTAAAAGGAAAGGAGTAAAATCTCCCCCATAGAGTAGTTCTGAGAGTGTTAGATATTGTGCCTACTACTTTATCATTATCATCAACATTATCATTTCCCAGAGTCATGCTATTAGTTGAAATAAAGGTTAAGGTAGGATTCAGGTCTCCAGATTCTGAGATTAGACTGCCCTGTGGTAAAAATAATGATCCCCGCCCCAGTATATCACCACATGAGCTGTTTGTTCACATGCTTCATTTAACCCAACATTGAATTCTAATTTATTGTTGATGAGGATTAGTATTTCCAATAATTTCTTATGAAATATCTTAAACATGAAAAAGAATTGAATGAATTATAAAGAGATCATGCATATATCACCTAGATTTTATAATTAACATTTTGTGATTAACATTCATCATTTACCCATCCATCACCCATTTATCCATCTTACTTCAAAGGAATTTATCTTATTTCAAAGGAATTTTCAGACTTTCAGGTGAACTTTTATGTAGCTTAGTACTGATTTCTAAAATAAGGTAACATTTTCCTTGGAACTACCTGTCCTTTATAACTTGATAATCCATTTCTGAGTATGACAAGGGGAAGGTAAGAGACCATTGAGTCATGGATGCCTTCCACTCTCTCATTTCTGATACATGACCAACCCCATTCACCTCTTCAATCTGAAATGTCTTTTAAACTTTCTTGAGTGTAAACCCTACTTGATGGTGGGGGTTTGTTGTTTTGTTCTCTGCTCAGTCTATGGCACCTACTGCTGGTATGAAATAGATACTTAACAAATATTTTCTGAGTGTCATTTGTCCCTTCCTCTATCAGCCCCATTGTTACTACCTTCACTTAGACCCTCCTTATCACTCATCTCCAAGGTGAAAAACAATGAGTACTTAATCTTTAAACTAAAAAGTGTCAGGTGTCCCCTTTTTCTGAGGGACTCAGAGTCAAAAAGGAGAGAGAGAGAGAGAGAGATAAAGAGAGACAGAGACAGAGAGACAGAGAAAAAGAAACATAAAATTTCATGTAAATACAAATGACCAGAGAATTTATGTTTCAACTATTATGGGCTGTTGCCACAGACAGAAAGCAATAATCAGAAAACTTAAGAAATGGGTTTCCAGGGCTGGGCATGTGGTCCACATCTATAGTCCCAGCTACTTGGGAGATGAAGAGTGGGAGGATTGTGGTTGGTGGCCTGCTGGGACAAAAAGTTAGCAAGACTTCATCTCAACAAATAAGCCAGGCATGGTGGTTCATTCCTGTCATTCCAACTATGCAAGAGGCATAGGTAAGATGATTGTGCTCCCAGGCTGGCCCAGGCAAAAAGTAAGACCCTATATAAAAAAATAACCTAAAGCAAAAAAAGGGCTGGGGGCATGGCCCTGAGTTCAAACACCAGCAAAAAAGAAAAGAAAAGGAATAAAAAGAAAAAGAAGTAGGCTTCCTCTTAGCTACTGATTCTTAACAGTAGGGGGTTAAAATCATGTGGAATGCCATTAATATCTTATAGCATAGTGCTTGGCTCAGACAACACATTTTTATCTATTGAGAGTTCCAGCCAAGTCAGAACAGCAATCAGGCCTCTAGAATGGAAACTCCAATAGAAATGCAGTTTGCAAAAGTGATCAACATTTCCTTTCTTGCTTTAAAAGTAAATTGCATATATAATAAATTATTGTAGACTATAGTTGATCTGCTGTGCTGTGGAACACAGGAGGCAATTCTTCCTGTCTATTTTTTGGTACCAGAAATCCAGCCTCTCTCTGTCCCTCCTCCCACTGCCCTCTGAGTCTCTAGTGACTATCATTCTACTCTTCAACTCTAGTGAAGTCACAGATGCTTGAGGAGATGGAAGTACTAATTACCCTGACTTGAACCTTATACATGTATTGAATTTTCATACTGTACATCATAAACATATACAAATATTAGTATCAATTAAGTTTTTTAACAAGGAAATGGTGTAATGAAAAGATCAGAAGTGTTGAAGTCAGACATCCATGCGTTTGAACCTTAGCTCCTCATTGGAAAGCTGGGAAGAGTTCCTTAGCCTCTCTTAGGTTAGGGTTCTCATCTGTAAAAGGTGGTTGATGATACCTGAATAGATTAAATGAAGTCATTTGGACAATCACTTGATACTTAGCATATTGATAGGTGAAAAACAAAGAGTAGCTCCTATCCTTAAGCAATCTGAGACACATGTATATTTATTTATCCAAAAGCTATGTAAACAATAGATCACTATAGTGGATGAGATCATCAGTGATGGAGAATTCCCTCTCAATCCTTCATTCCTCATTGACTTTAGCTTGCAGTTTGGGGACCTTTGCACTGATTAATTTCTACGATGTCTCCTCCCAGATCTATGAGATGATGCTGGTAAGACATGGCTTTATGATTGTCGGAGATCCCATGAGTGGCAAGACCTCTGCTTATAAAGTGCTGGCTGCAGCTCTGGGTGATTTGTATGCAGGTAAAGCTCACGGAGGACAGGACTTCCTACTCAGTTGGCTGGCACCATGGAGATAATGCCAGGCTATGAGTTTTGCTGGCCATGGATCGTAATGTCAGAGCTAGAAACAGAACATGGGACACAGATGGAAAAATACAGGGTGGTGGAGTGTGGCTTCTACCAAGGGATGTTATGTGCATTCATGAAGGCTGGTGGGGTTTTCTCAAATGCTAAGCATGGTTCTTCAATGGGTCCTTAATAAGAGAGAATTGCCTGTCACTGACCTAAACAAAATCAGTCCAAAAGCAAGCCCAAACAATTGCATCATTTCTTTTCCCTTTATTCTCCATCCTTTCTTTCTTTCCCTTTTCTTCCCTTTCCCACTTTTCTTCATTCTCTCCTCCTCTTTCTTCTTCTCTTCCTTTCTTCCTTTCTACCTTCCTTTTAAGGTAGAGAATCAGAGTTCATACTTTTGAGTCAGACTCAAACTTGAGCAAATGACTAAACCTCTCTTATTCTCCATTTCCCCAGCTCTAGAATAGGATTGTTGTGAGATTTAAGTAAAATTTTGCAGATCAAGAACCTAGCACAGTGCCTATTCAACAAATGGAAGCTATGTTTACTGCCAGAAAAACAGTTCTAGGTTTTTTGTTTGTTTAAGCATAAAATACAAACCTGTGGTTTTAAAAAGCAGTCTGAGTTGCACATGTGTATACATATTCACTTCAACTACTTAATTTAAAATTGTTTTCTAATGATATTTGATGATTAAATTGCTGCTAGATTTTTCTCTTGAGATTTGGAAGACTAACAGCCTCAATAACTAATTTGGGCATTTCAATTTTAAGTACAGTGATAATTTTGGCATTTGAATATGGTTTAAGAAACTAAAGGAAGAGAACCAGGCACAGTGGCTCATGCCTGTAATCTCAGCTACTCAGGAGGTAGAGCTTGGTAGACTTATGGTTTGAGGCCAGCCTGGGCAAAAAGCAACTGAGACCCCATCTCAACAAATAAGCTGGGCATAGTTGCATGTGTCTCTAATCCCAACTACATGGGAAGTGTAGGTAGGATAAACATGGTCTGAAGTAGCCCAGGCAAAAAACATGAGACCATATCTGAAAAACAACTAAAGCAAGTGTATGTGGGTCAAGTAGGAGAACGCCTGCCTAGCAAGCATGAGACCCTGAGTTCAATCCCTAGTCCTGCCAGATTGTTTTTGCTTCAGGATTCTGTGGAAATAGTTCTTTATTTAGGGAATGGCTCATGCACTCCAACTTTCCCCTACTTTGAAGGATCATGTAAAAGTAACATTTTCTGTTATTAAATACACATTATGTGCCATCACCTATCAGTCTAAATATTCCAGTTCAGTCCTTGTACTCTAACAGTGCATTTCTCAGTGCACAAATGACACTTATTGGGAAGTTGAGAAAAAGATTTTAGAGCTAAACTAACCTTTGAGATAGAGAACAATAGCCACCATTTTTCAGAATCTTCTAACTTGTCAGCTGTTTTATCATCCTAGGCCAAAGCCAAGATTCTTAGGGTAACCATGACAACAAGGCACATAGAGAGCTGGTAAGTGGCACCTCTTATTTAGTGCTTGAGTCTTTTTAGGCCTGGTCTAATTTTTTTAGTCCTGCATCTGACAAGCACATTTGTCCAGTTTGAAATAAGACTCAGAAGAAAGCATGGTAAGAAACTAATGTCTATGATAACCCAACAATTTAAAACATTTTCTATCCAGATATCCCTGTGTATTATGGATTTAGCACATATTTCATAAAGACTCTCTTTGGGCTGAGCGGTACACTCCTGTAATTCTACCTACTCAGGTGAAGAAGGCAGGAGACGAGCCTGAGAAAAGTTAGCAGTGAAACCCTGTCTCAGAAATTGAAAACAGAGGCTCTCCTTGACTTGCATGTTCAGCAAGAGGTGGCATTGTCTCTTGTCTAACATTCTGGTCTCACCAAAGCTCTCGTAACTGCTGTTGGACCTTCTTGCCCAGCCAACCAGATGGAGGAGTTTGCTGTGGAGTTCAAGATCATCAACCCCAAGGCCATCACAATGGGTCAGCTGTATGGGTGCTTTGATGCAGTGAGCCATGAGTGGACAGATGGTATCCTAGCCAATGCTTTCCGAGAGCAAGCATCTTCCACGACTGATGACCGCAAGTGGATTATATTTGATGGACCAGTGGATGCTGTTTGGATTGAAAACATGAACACTGTTCTGGATGACAATAAAAAGGTAGCTTTTTATTCATGGCATAAATTCATTGAGGTGAGTGGTCAGAACTATAAAAGACATGAATTTGTTACACTATGAATAAATGCCCCCTAAGAGGATGACAGCTATCAATTCATGAATCATGCTTTGTGGTTAGAGACAATGTTGTACAGTGGTTAAAAGCTTTGATGCTGGCAACAGATTGATTTCCTAGGTCTCCCAATGAGCTGTGTTGTGTTGGGCAAGTCAAGTTACAGAATTTGATTTCCTGATCTGTAACAATATAGTAGAATAGAGTCATTGATAATTAGATGAGACAGTACATATGAAATGTGTTTGGGTTATTCCTTGCCATATAGCAAACTACTACTCTAATACTTAGTGGTTTAAAATAACTACTTTTTTTTCCTATGATTTTGTGGGTTGGGGTTTTTGAGAGTTCAGCTGTCTAACTGGTCTCAGGTTCTTGTGGTTTCACTTGGGATAACTAGAACCAGAAGATCCATGTCTAAGATGGCTTACTCACCCAGTGCCTGGGGTGCATTCCTCTGGCCTGTTTTTTTCTTTCTGTAAATGACATCTCATCTTCCAGGCTTGCCCATGTGGCCTGGGCTTGTCACCTGATAGTCTCTGGGAGGTAGCACTTGTAATGTGACTTCCAAGAGACAGGAAGTAAAAGTTTCCTAGCAATTAAGGATCATGCTTGAAACTGACATTGAATCACTATCTCTAATCCTATCAGTCAAAAAGTCACATGGCCTGCTTGGGTTCAAAGGCATAAGGAGACAGACTCCATCTCTTGATGGAGGTGGAGAAGGTCACATAAACATGCACGTGGAATGGGAGGTATTATTGTAGCAGTCTTTGGAAAATGCATCCTGCCTCAGTAAATATAGTAACACTAAAAATCTTGGCCTTGAGCCTACCTTCAAATCCTGGCCCTGCCATTATCAGCTGTTTAACCTCAGACAAGCCATTTAGTTTCTTAATGCCTCAATTTCATCATATGTAAGATGGGGATAACCACTGGGCACCAGTGGTTTATGCCTGTAATCCTAGCTACTCAGGAGGCAGAGATCAGGAGGATCGATGTGTGAAGCCAGCACCAAACAAATAGTTGCAAAACCCTATCTTGAAAAAGCCCAACACAAAACCATATTCTATTATATTTTTACAGATCAGGATATTAAATTCTGTAACTTGACTTGCCCAACACAACACAGCTTAGTGGTAGACATAGGAAATCAATCTGTTGCCAGCATCAAAGTGGAGAGTCTTAAGTGGTAGAGCGCCTGCCTAACATGAGTGAAGCCATGAGTTCAAACCACAGTACCACTAAAAAAAAAAAAAAAGGAGATAACACTATCTGCCTCATGTTGTTAGGAGGATTTGATAAGAAAATACTTACAAACTGCTTGTAGTAGTGCCTGCCAGATAGCTAGTACTGTATAACTTCTCATTAAGATAATAAAATAAAATGTATCACTATTTCAAATAATAGTTCCTACACTGAATGTACACACTATCAAATCAAAATGTTTTTTCAGAATATTTAAATGTCACAAGCCCAAGAGTGAGTCAGGCTTAACAATGGAAGTCCTAATTACCCAAATTATACACAGAACTTTAACATGTAATTATATAACATAAAAATGGAAGTAAGTACTATTGCATGATACGGATTCTACTACACAAGCTAATGTACCAGTTGTTTTGAGATTAGTAGTACAGAGTCACACTCAAAGAATTTTCTAATTGTTCTTGGCTCTGCATATAAATCAAGCATTCACAGGTGTGGGTCTATTTTACTTTTCTTGATATTTAGAGATGACAGAGCTGGTGTTGTCAGCCCCATAACAGCTGTGACCTTCTTGGGGATACAAGCAGTGACATAGGGCCATGCAGGGCATTTTGGAGCCACAATTAGGATAAGCAGCAGAGATCTATTGTTTTTTCTTCCTCTCTGTGAGGCCAGGGCTCTGGCTTTGTCTCATAACTCACATACCTTTCTTGAGCACACATTAGCAAATGGCAAGTGGTATCCTAAGTGGATAGTCTAAGGTACGCCTAGGCACTGGACATCTTTGTACAAATACTAGGACTTCCAGTGGTCTTCCATTCCATTCCAGAGGAATCTAGGGACAGATTCTTGTCACTCCAGCCATGGACTAGTTCATATGGGAAGTTCAAAAAGGTTCTTTTGTGAGAGACTTGAGCAAATTAAACAGGATAAAGATGTATAATTAAGCTCTCTGTTAAAATACAGAGAAAGGAACCAAGAAACTTTGTAAGATATGATAACTTCCCCATTTTTCACCTAAGGTTGAAATTCAGTGATTTTTCTGTTCTCACTATCGAAAATTACAACTCACTCAGCCATGCAGAGCACTCTCCATCCCCTTCTGCTTTACTTTTCTCTATAACACTTTTCATTATTTTATATATGATACATTTTGCTTATCATCTGTTTCCTCCCAGTAGAATATAAACCCCAAGATGATGGGGATTTTTCCTGTTTTATCCTATGCATGTAGAACAGTACCTGGCAAATAGTAGGCTCTCAAGAAATATCTGTGGAATGTACTGAAACCAACTCTGTCTTCATTGAGACCTTCTACTGGCAGGTTATAGTTCAACCACTATGCCTGCTCCTACCCTTCTGTTTCACTTTCAGCTGTGTTTGATGAGTGGAGAGATTATCCAGATGAGCCCCAAGATGAGTCTGATCTTTGAGCCAGCAGACCTTGAGCAGGCCTCCCCAGCCACCGTGAGCAGGTAAGTCAGGGTGACTAGCACCTGGAGGGAAGGCCTGGCCCACTAACCCTAAGTAGGATGGGAGTGCTAAACACCCATGAATGTGATTAAGGTCTACCCTTAGACCTTAGTCCACCCACATCTTTTGTTCTCTTAGGCTTGTCATAAAATTAGTCTTCAACCCATACTGCTGGTGTAAATCTTAAATCTAGCTAGCCCTTTGGAAAAGGATTTGACGTTATCTACTCAAGTTGAACTTTAAATTGCCCATGACCCAGCAATGTTGCTCCTAGCTATGTACCTAAAAGAGATTCTTACCCATGAATAATAGGAGACCTATAAAAGAATATTCATAGTGGTACAGCTAATAATAACAAACACTTGAAACAACCTAAATGCCATTACAGGGATGAATTAATGAATTATAATATAATTTTAAAAATTGTAATATTTGTATTTATCATGCAAAATTAATGTGCTGCCCTGATATGGATAAATCTTAGGAAATAATTAAGGATAAAACCTAGGGTAGGCACAATGGCTCACACTTGTAATCCTAACTACTTGGGAGGTGGATATTGGGAGGTTAGTGGTTTGAGGTCAGCCTAGGGGGAAAAAGTTCATAAAACCCCATCTCAACTAGCAAAGGCTAGTACATTTATGCTAAACAGGAAGCATAAATGGGATTGTGATCCAGGCTACCCAGGCATAAACTTGAGACCCTATTCAAAAAATACCTAAAGCAAAAATGGCTTGGGGTATAGCTCAAATGGAAGAGCACCTACCTAGCAAGTGCAAGACCCTGAGTTCAAACCCCAGTATGGCAAAAAAAAGAAAAAAAAATCCTAGCAATATTTTGCATTAAAGCAAGATATTATGTACAACATAGTATCCCTACTAAATTTTTTTTTAAAAGATGTGTATGGGGGCCAGGCATGGTGGTATGTATCTTTAATCCCACTTACTTGAGAAGTATAAATAGGACTCTTGCAATACAACACTGGCTCTGAGCAAAAGCACAAGATCCTATCTGAAAAACAAACTAAAGGCAAAAGGACTGGGGCCATGGGTCAAGTGGCAGAGGCCTCGTCTAGAAAGTGGGAGGCCCTGAATTTAATCCCTAGTATCACCCTTCCCTCCAGAAAAAAACACTGTAGGAACATACAGAATGCTATAAAACTATAGGAGAGGGAATGAAATCAAGATTCAAGATGCTGTATTACCTTATGTGGGGGAACCCAAGGGAATAGGATGAGAGATCATATGGTTGGATGAAGTTTATTGTCGATGTCCATTAGGTTCTAGCATAGTGCTAGAACTGACTACAGTAAATGCGCAATAAATGTTAGCAGGCCGTAGTGAAAAACAAGAGATAACCTAGCCTGATTCGTTGTTTGTGTTCCAGGTGTGGGATGATCTATATGGAGCCCCATCAACTAGGTTGGAAGCCCCTGAAGGATTCATACATGGATACTCTGCCCTCCAGCCTCACTGAGGAACACAAGGAATTGGTGAGACCCTCGGACCATTTTACTGTCACCCCACCCACTCCACTGCCATTTCCCTACTCATCTTAAGGACTCTGTAGGCACATTTTTTACCTTCACAGTTCCAAGGCAAGAAGGAGCCGAGGGAATTCCTTGTTTGTCCCCAGATATCTTATTTCATGGCTGTTTGCCATTTTTCCAACTTTTCTCCTTCATGTGGTGGGGAGGGGCTGGTGCAGTCAATTCTCCTTCCTCTTCTATCTTTTCAATCATTCCTCAGCTCCCCAGTAGAGAAACCCAGTGCTGAGAAATGTTCTTTATAGTGTCATTCCATTGTCCCCTGAGCAGAGATGTCTTTAGAAGTTGCTCTAGAGGCAGATCATGTCCTTCTGTTCTGTCATTCCCCACCCCACTAGCCTACCCTCTACCAGGACAGATCTTGGACCAGTTAAAAGTGCCTTCTTTGCAGCTACAACAAATGACCAGTGATGAATACTTTCTTCTTGTCCTGAAAGAGACAGGAAAATTCAGGCTCTGCAGGGCCCTGACTACACTCTCAGACCAGGGAACAGAAAGGGAGAGACTGTGTTTGTGGTGTCTCTTGTCCTTCCCTGCAGTAGTAGACATTCTTAGAAAAGCCTCCACAGAGGAAGCCAAGAAGGGTTGCATTTACTCCACATGGAAACACTGTAGGGGATTGTGTAGGATACATGTATAGGCCTATTGTGTGTATACATGTATAATATATATGATCACATGCATTTATATAAGTACCTGTCCACATACATATCCAGGAACTGATTGTTTGTTCTGTCTGTCTGTCTGTCTCTCTCTCACTCTTTCTCTCTCTCTCTCTGTCTGGAATCTGCCAAGACCCCATGCTATAAAGTCCTTCAGGGACTCTCAAATGCCCAGAGCACAAAGTCCAACTCCTTAACAGGTCTTGGGATAACTTGAGCCCTGCCCAACTTTGCAACCTCTTCACTGATTCTCTCTCTCTAGCCCCAGCTCACTATCCACCAGACATCCTGTCTTATTTCCATTGCTATTTTCACCACCTCAAGGCTTTTGCACATTTTATTTTTCATACAGGAAATCTTGTCCCAATTCATCTCATAAGTAGCTCACCTTGGTCATCCAGGTCACAGTATAAAGGGCCCTTCCTCTAAGAAGCCTGACTGGCCCCTGACTGTCCTTGTTTAAGCCCTTCCTGATATTCTCCATTGTAACACTTTCGTTTCCTGATAACATGTTCCATGATCTGCATCTTATTTATTTCCTTGCTTGTTCAGTCATTTATTGTCTTCTCTGCCTCTCAGATTGGGAGTTAGCAGGGTCCTTGTCTGTGTTGTCTGCCATTTATCTCCAGTACTGGTTACTACAATGCAATTAATAGATGTTCAATAAGTATTTGTTTACTGAAATAATACAGATGCTCCTCAACTTAAGATGGAGTATGTCTTGATATACCCATCACACATTGCAACACCATACACTGTAGAGTATCTGTTATTTCCCCTGGGATCACATGGCAAACAGGTAGCTGTGGCTGGCTGCTGCTGCCCAGCATCATGAGGAGGGAATATTGTCACTGTAGCCCAAATAAAGATCAAAATTTAGAATTTGAAGTATTTAAATCTTGAAGTACTCTCATAAGTAATCAGTAATCTTACCAACATCTCCAGCTTTCTGAGAAAGACCAAGCTCTTAAGAGTTCAGACCCTTTTAGATAATGTCTACAAATCTCACAAAGCTTTCTACTCTCAGGTCAATGACATGTTCATGTGGCTTGTTCAACCCTGCCTGGAATTTGGTTGCCTTCAGTGTAAATTTGTAGTCCAAACATCTCCCATCCATTTGGCCTACTCAATGATGAGACTGTACTCCTCTCTGCTTGGTAAGTGCCATGTGAGGACTGGATGTGCCTTGTCTTTTTTTTGTCTGCTTTCATCCTTCTTTTGTCCCTCTTGAGTTATAATGAGACCAACTGTGTGGTCAGGAACAAGCAAACCTTGAATTGCAGAGAATGGAGTTTCGTGGAAAGAGCCCATGTGTTTTGTCCTGATCTGATACTGATTTCTTTTGTTCTTGTTCTTTTGCAAAGTACCCTATCCTTCCTTTGCCTAAGGTTCCTCATCTACACAGCAGTAGTAACAATTCCTGTCCCTATTTACCTGGCAGGAGATGAATTTAGATAATACATGCAAATATATCTCAGAAAAAATATTCTGGAGAGGTTAGATTGACTTCAACATAATGCATGTACAGGTATAATACCAAGGCAAAAATCCCACTGACAATGAATAGATACCTAAACAATGAAGAACAAGAATGAAAAACAGGTCACACTTCGGGAAGGGCACTAATGAGAGGGGAGGATAAAAGAAGGAAGTAAATAAGATGAATGTGGTTGATGCATTTTCTGTACAAGAATGAATATAGAATATTTAAACCTGTAGAAATCACCATAAGAGGACCAAGATAGAAAGGAGAATAATGCAGGGAATGAACCAATTTTGGATGTAATACTTATATACATGGAAATGTCATAAAGAAACTTCCTGTATAGCTATCTTAAACAAACAAAAAATGTCCTTTTTAAAAAAAAAAAGGAAAGGAAAGTAAAACAGGTCCTGTCTGGGGGTTGGTACCAGTGGGAGGGAGAAGAGCATAAGGAAAGGGTGAGGGAGGATAAAAATAAAAATGGTGGAAATACTATGTATTCGTGTATAAAAATGGAACAATGACACCTATTGAAACTGTTCTAAGAAGGGAGGGGGGATAAAGGAGAAGGATGGAGGGGGTGAATAACTAAGATATATTGTAATTACTTTTGTAAATGTATCCCCAGTACAACAATAATATGCTAATAAAAAAGAAAAATATTCTGAAAAAATATAAGAAGTTTTCAAATATTAAGAAAACCAACATAAAAATATGAGTGTACAAAGCACATAAATATACTGCAAGAGAACTAATCACACTGGTCTCCAAATCTAGGGAATTTCTTCAGGACATTTAAAACAATGCTTTTGTGATTTATGTACTTCCCAAGGTACAATCATATATCTCCATAACTGTTCCACACAAATCAGATTTCACTGAATTCTATTGCAAATGGCAAAAGAGAACCTTTATTAGATGCTGTTTCTGTTTCCAGATGGCACTTAACTCAAACTCAAGACTACTCTTCTTTACAGCTTCTGATACTTGAACATATTTTCTCAGCTCATTTTCTTCCAAAAACATTGTACATATAAACAAAAAAACCTTGCACATAGCTAACAATTAAGTAGAGAATTTCTAAATGATATTTGATTTTTTAAAAAATTAAAAATTTAGACTTTCTTAGAAATATACCAATTATGTGCCATGCCATATATTTGTATTTTTATTTGTAAATATTGCATATTTTCCCAAGCTCCATCAACTATTCTTATAGAGTGTCTCTGAAGAAAGAAGACACCAGGATGAGAAATAGACCACTGTCCTGAGTGATCTCATCTTTTGCCTTCTCAAATCTAAAACAGTGAAATCCCTCAAAAATAATCAAACGCACACAACTAATAAAACTGGAGGAGATTCCAAGATGGCGGCTAAAGGTAGGAAGCAGAAAGTGACCCTCCTATAGTGAAATATTGGAGAGACGCTGGAGACACACTTTGTAGGCATAATCACTGAGAAAAGGCATAACTTTGACCCCTCCACATCTCCAGCCGGTGCAGAGAATCTCCACATTAAACTGAGAAAGGAGGAGGGCCCCTGGTGCCCATACAGCTTGGGAAGACGTGGACCAGGTGAGCTTCGCGGTACCACGGTACCCCAACAGACAAGCCTGGGCCAGAGCAGCATAGCCCCCTGGACAGACTGACCTCCACCCGGGAAAAAAAGAGAAACTGAGTAATAAGCAATAAGAACAGTTAAGACACGCTGGAAAGAGGGTGGGGCGCCCTAAGCGCTGAAGATTGGGGGAAGGGACCCCTTCCCGGGACTGTAAATAAACAAGCCGGGTAGGCCGGAGAGCCTCTGGCGGGAGCAGGGCGCGCACCCACCAACCAGGAGCGGGGAAGCTTGTGAGAATGGAGGAGGGAGGAAAACTCCACAGGAGAGAAGGGAAGACCCACTTCCCACGTGAACTGTAAATAAACACCACGGCCGGCAGGAGCAGCAGCACTGCCCAGTAAGCAGGAGCAAGAAAGCTAAAAGTGGCAGTGGGAGGAAAACTTCAGAGGAGACGGGGGAAGACCCACCTCCCACAAGAACTGTAAATAAACACACAGGCCTGACAACGCGGCAGCAGTGTCACATTTCCCAGTGCTTGGAAAGGGGAAAGCCTGTAGCAGAGGCTCCCGCACAGGAGAACTCTGAGCAAACAAAGCCTGTGGGACCAGGTGAGTGCTAGCTCACCCCAGAGATCTGCATAAGTAATGCCGCCAGCTACAGGCTGAGAACAGCAGGCAGGCAAGCCACAGTTGCAGATACCACTCTCAGAACTGCCTCCAGACGCTTTTTTTTCTTTTTCTCCCTACCTTTGATGAGAGAACAACCGAATTACACCTGCAAGCCGAAAAACTTACTGAAACTGTATTGCATTTGAACTTGGGACACTTGGTGGGGCTTTTGTGTGTGTGTGTGTGTGTGTGTGTGTGTGTGTGTGAGTGTGTGTGTGTGTGAGTGTAGTTTTGTTCTACTTTATGCATCCCCTTTGATGAGACAACTACAGAACAACATCTGAGGCACCAACTCCAGGACTGGAGATTGAGACGGACACCCAAATTATTAAGACTGAAACTGCATTGCATATAAACTTGGAAGGTTTTTGTTTATTTTTTCTTTTTAATTTTCTATTTTCCATTTTATTTTAATTTAATTTTATATATAGATAGTTCTTTCATTTACTTATTTTTTATTTTTTTTAATCTTTGATTTTCAATCCTCTCTCTTTCTCTAATGTCTGTTCAGCTTACTGTCGATTAGTACACTAACACTCCCTGTTTATACCTTTGAAACTCTCTTGTCTGATACCTTGCTCTGCTTTCTCCCTCTTGTCTGTATATTTGTTTTCCCCTTTTCTTTAACTTCTTGCTTTCCATCTCAGCTCACCCTTCTATTCTAAATATTACCACTGTTCTTATTACAAGCTAGAAAATACTTAATTGCACACAGTACAGGGACAGTAACAACACCAACGACAATGACGGGAAGACAGAAAAAACAGGGAAACCAGTTTCCCCACAGCAAAAAATTAGTACAGGAACCAGAGGGGAATGAAGAGAACAAAAACTCAGATCCAGACTCCAACAAAATGAAGATAAACTATGCCAAAGGACCCAATGAAGCCCACAAGAATAATTTAAAAGAAGACATACTACAAGTACTCAATGAGAATTTTATAGAGATGATACTGGATAGGGTCAACCAAAATGTACAGGAGACACTCAAGAAATTCCAAGACAATAAAAATAGAGAATTTGAAAAAGCAAAAGAAGAAATAAAGGAAACCATAGAAGCACTGTATAAACACCAAAGTGAAAGAGAGAACACAATGAATAAATGGATAAATGAACTCAGGACAAAAATAGACAACATTAAAGAGAAAACTGCCAGGATATGGAAAACCTCAGAAAAAAGAACGAAACAGAACTGCAAAACAAAACGGAAGGCCAATCCAGCAGAATAGAACAAACAGAAGACAGAATCTCAGAACTTGAAGATGAAATGGTAATTAAAGGAAAAACGAAGAACTATTAATTAAACAACTCAAGACCTGTGAAAAGAAAATGCAAGAACTCACTGACTCCATCAAAAGACCAAACTTGAGAATCATGGGCATCGAAGAAGGAGAAGAGGTGCAAGCGAAGGGAATGCGTAATATATTCAACAAAATAATAACGGAAAATTTCCCAAATCTAGAGAAAGATATTCCCATACAAATGCAAGAGGCCTCCAGGACACCAAACAGACCAGATCAAAATAGAACTACTCCACGACATATCATCATTAAAACAACAAGTTCAGAAACTAAGGAAAGAATATTGAAGGCTGTAAAAGAGAAAAAACAAGTAACATACAAAGGTAAACCCATCAAAATCACAGCAGACTTCTCAACAGAAACATTAAAAGCAAGAAGAGCATGGGGTGAGATCTTCCGGGCACTGAATGAAAATAACTTCAACCCCAGGATACTCTACCCAGCAAAGCTATCATTCAAAATAGATGGAGCAATAAAAGTCTTCCATGATAAGCAGAAACTAAAACAATATGTGACCACAAAGCCACCATTACAAAAGATTCTGCAAGGGATCCTGCACACAGAAAGTGACACCCAACTTAACCATGAAAAGGCAGGCAGCACCAAACCACAGGATAAGAAAAAGCAAGACAGTAGAGAGTAACATCAAGTTAGGTACACACAATCAAACCTTCAAACAACTAAGACAACTAAATGGCAGGAATCACCACATACCTATCAGTACTAACGCTTAATGTTAATGGACTTAATTCACCCATCAAAAGACACCGTTTGACAAAATGGATTAAAAAGAAGATCCACAATTTGTTGCTTACAGGAGACTCATCTCACCGACAGAAATAAGCATATGCTTAGGATGAAAGGCTGGAAGAAGATTTACCAAGCCAATGGCCCCCGAAAACAGCAGGAGTAGCAATACTTATCTCTGACAAAGTAGACTTCAAACCTACATTGATCAAACGAGATAAAGAAGGACATTCCATACTAATAAAAGGGGAAATAGACCAAAAGGAAATAATAATCATCAATCTGTATGCACCCAATGTCAACGCACCCAATTTCATCAAACATACCCTGAAAGACCTAAAAGCATATATAAACGCCAACACAGTGGTTGTGGGAGACTTTAACACTCCATTATCATC